CATGGCAGTATGTTCTTGACAACTTCTTTGAGTTCTCCAGGTACACCTTGGAAAATGCTGAAGAACTCCGACACAGAGAATTTGGAGAAATTGCACTCCAATACTACCTTGAAAAACAAAGGGTAAAATAAGACTAAAAACTTAACGTTTAAAAAAGGGACATTTTTATGAGCTCCGAGCCACCGAGAAAACTTGGTCAGATGTTAGCAGCTTACTTCCCTGAGGAGGATGGAAGCGTTACATACGTAAGGTTCAAAAACAACGAACCTGGAATTGCGTACCAAATTCGCAATTACATGACCATGGAAGAGTACGAAAGGTTCCTACAAGAGAAACCAGCTCTAAACAACTCAGAAAAGAAAGAATAAAAAGTTTAACTCGTAATTGTTTATTTTTTTACTTGTATGGGCAAGCTGCAAGAATGAAGTCGACTATCTCAGTCTTTGTCTTGACCAGTTGGACTGCTCTTGTAAGCACGTCTGTTTTGCGGTCTCCAGCTGGTGTTTGACCTTCGTAATTGCGCATGTTCTTGAGAGCTCCAGCTGTAAATGGTTGTAGGATGAAGAGTCTCTCAGACTGCTTGAGGTAGTCGTCACGGTCACGAACCGAATCTGTGGTACGAGTCGAATTGGTCGACCTTAGGGAAGAGACTGAAAGCCTGTCGTCTTCCATCGGGGCTGTAGCGTACTCTTTGCGTAAACGGTTCAGACCTTCTTCGAACTCTTGGTCTCTCTTGGATTGAGATTGAGATTGGAATTGCTGGGGTGGAGCTTGCTGGAACATCCAAGGGTTGGGGAAGTAAGGCATAGGTTGAGGAGGGTAGTTCGGGAAGCCTTGTGGTGGGTAGTAACCTTGAGGTGGAAATTGGTAGTAATTCGGAGGTACTTGCTGGAACTGAGGTTGCTGAGGAGACTGTTGTGGTTCTGCAGCTTTCGGTTCTTCTGGCTTTGGAAGGCATTCAGGAAGAGGAACGTCAGTCATCCGTTTGTGTCCTGTCGGAAGGAAAATTTTTTCCTGTCGGATGGAAAAACTTTTCCTGTCGGATGGAAAAACTTTTTCTGTCGGAAGGAAAATTTTTTCTGAAGTTCGACCAAAAAGTTCTCAATTTTCGAAAATTTGAATGGTTTACGGACGGACAACTGGAAGAGTTCTTCCTGTCGTCGGGAAAAATTTTTCCCTTTGTCCGGAAAATTTTTTCCAGTTGTCGGGAAAATATTTTCCTGTCGAATGGAAGGACTCGGAATGCCAGAAGGATTTGACGAGGCAATTTACCTCATTGAACTTAACGACTGCGTAAAAGACTACTTGCGCAAGGTAATGAAGCCCAAGGTCAAGTTCACCAGTATTTCTGGAAGGGCTGCATTGAATCTCGAGACTTCGACCGGAATTCCAATTCAAATACCAGACGGGACAGCCTACGATGACATAAAGGACGCCAAAAGAGAAGCTCTTGTTAAGTTCTTAAACAAACGTCCTTGGATAAAAATACCAAACAAGGAGAACCCCCTACCCCATATAAAATTGGCAATTCAGTCTCTCCTTCACTTCTCGGGTCAGCCGTTCTACATAACCTCAGAAGGCGACATTCAGCCAGTTCAGTAAACATCTCATTTTAACTCACTTTTTTTATGTTTTTACTCACACTCGTACTCAACAGGTTTGTGTACAACTATTTCAACTGTGAACCTTGTATTGACCGGTATTCCTGCAAATGCAAGTTCGGTCAATACACAATTTATGGTGGCAAGAAGGACAGTGGGGAATGTTATTCTGACATCTGTTGTTGCGCTCGAGAGAGAATTGAAATTCCAGACCCGACACCAACAAGAACTCTCAAGTTGCCAAAGACTCATGTGAAGAAGAAGTCATATAACAAAGCACTTATAGCCATATACATGGCACGTTTAGAGTAAAAACATTTTTTTCATTTTTTGAATGAAGCAAGTTAAATTCGTCCCACACCAATCTCAATGGACCGATGAAGAGTTTCAAGCTATGGTTGAAGGTGTTGAGAACGACATAGACGGCGAACTTGAAGGAGCTCAAACCACAATTGCAACCAAAATTGCAGAAGTCAAGGAACAGATAGCTCCACTTAAGGCAACTAAAGCAACCTTTGACCTCATGGATACTTACCGTTTAGAAGTAAAGAGTGGAATAAGACAATTAAAATTGAAACTTCTAAACTACGAAGCTATACTCCAAAAGTTAGCAGAAATGAGAAGACTTTACCAGAGCTACTTACATGTAAGGGACTTACCTTCAAGCAGTCCGACCAAAGATGAATTTTCTGACATTGTCCCAATTTTGTCCGAATGTCAGCTCAGATGTTTTGAACTGCTCCCAAGATATCCAGAATATGAACGTTTGCCTGAACTCTTCCGCAATCTCAAAAAACGTTTTTTGGTTCTCATGTTCGAAACTTTTATCGGAAGAGACAACAAACGTTCAGAAGAAGAACAAGATATTATTTTAAACTTGTTGTATGACTTAACCGTCATAACAAGCTTTTTGAAGTAAAACCGTCATTCTCAAACCACTTCATTTTTTCGATGTCCGAACAAGCACCGAAGCCAAACTCAATGGAAGATGTCCTTTCAAGGTTGTCAGACAAGCGCCCAATTCAACTTCAAATTGCCCAATTGAAAGCTCATCTGACAAACACCATTAAGACTCTCCAACTTAGTCTTATGACAGAGATGAAGGGACTTAAAGGTGAGTTCCTCATGAACCAAGCTTCCAATGAGAAAGTCCTGAACGATTTCTCAGAATCGTTGCGCAATTACGAGAGAGAGAACCGAGACCTTGCCAGACTCATCTACCGTTTCTTCGAAGAGATAGACGCCATCTGGAAGGTACTCGGAAAGGACAGAACATGCAACACCGTACTTCGTGAGTACCAAATTGAAGAAGGAATTGTCGAGGAAGAAGAGAAACACGAAGAAGAAGAAGAGGAAGAAGAAGTTCCTGAAGCCGCTACATGGGCAACCCTTGTTGCCGATGACGGTTACGAAATTTCCCAACCCTACCCATACAAAATCCGCAACAAGGAGACAGGCAAGGTTCTTACCCCAGTTCTCAACAACTTGGGACACTTGAACCTTAACCTTCGGAATCGCGGTTCAATTTCCATGGGCAAGCTTGTCGCAATTCAATGGGTTCCAAATCCAGACAAGAAGACGAAGGTCAGACACATTGACGGTGACAAGCTCAACAACCGTAAGGAGAACCTCGAGTGGTTCTAAGAGTAAAAAAATTTTATTTTAGGGGGAAACCCCAAGTAAATTTAGGTGTTTAGTTGGATAAGTAGGCACAATTAATGGTAATTTGGAAAATTAGCTCCCGACCTTTGAATTGGGCTCTTTCGTTATCCCAGTTGCGTAGGAGGTCGTCCCAGAGGAGTTGGTAGAATTGCCAATTCAAGGACGATTTGTCCTCCCAGGCATTGAGGATGTACTGCTCGTAGAGTCTCATGACCTCTGCCTTGCACCATACACCCTCTCCCTTGGAACGTAAGGCTTCTTCGAAGTGCTCGAATGCGATTGGCTGCTTGACCATCCGAAATGACACTTTTTGTCCGTTTGGTCAATGTTCGTGTCTCGTGCCATAGTCGACGAAAATACAGACAAACAGGTTATATATGAGTTTGAGACCAAGAATGGTGTAACTCGACCTGTCCGATTCAAAAACTCCGAGGGCGACCATGAAATTAAACGGAAATTAGCTAGGAAGGAATATAAAATGGACTGGTTGCCACCACCTCCACCACCTTTACCTGTTCCTCAAGTAAATAAGCCTTTCCCGTTCCCAAGAATTCCCACATTTAAATTCAAATTCGAATAAAAATTTTTTACTTCATGCAATGTTTAACTATTTCACCATCTTCTTTAACACCCCAGTACTTACGCTTGGAGAGGACATGAACTTCGGTGAAAATTTTGTCCAATTTGAATTGACCCATCTTTTCACCGACCATACCCATTTCAATGAGTTTGTTGTATCCTTCTTCGTTCGTCATGAGTGCGTCAATGTTCTCATAGTAAACCTTGACTTTCGATTTGACTTCCGAGAAGAACTCATTGTAGTTGTCAAGGACTGCCTTTGCGAACTGAGGGTAAGACCAATGTTCGACAATAGGTTTTAATGTGGTTACTAAGCCACTTTGACCTTGAGTGAATTCGTACTTCAAAACAAAAGGAGAAAACCTTTCAACAAAGTTGTCGACCTTCTCATAATGTTTACTCTTCATCTCTTGAGGTTTCTTAATGGAATATCCCCATGTCGAATTCATAAGCAATTTGAGTGTCATTGCAAGTTTGGGGTTTGAAGCTTTCCTAATATCATACAGTTGTTGTATGACTTTTCCAACTGTATAGTTCCTTCCCGGGAACTCACCATCTTCGTTTGGAATTCCAGTCGGAATATATTGGACAAACCTCATGTATGCAGCGTTAAGGTCGACATAGTATATCTTTTCATCTGAGTCGAACTTGTCGCAACCAATTGGTCCAGTTTGTGGAAATTCAAGTGAGTCTCTTATCTTCTGAGAAACTTCTCCTGTTATCTCATAAACATCGTCGAAGCAACCTGTTTCATATAAAACCTTCTGACCTAACTCAGATGCTCTCCAATACAATTTGACGTCAATTGGATGTCTCAATGGAAGTTTGTTTATAGCATCTTGAAGTTCTTGCAACCTCATTGGAAGTTCTTCTGGTTCAGGTTGGTATCCGAATAATCCAACTCCTTGTGGAACTGTGTACTTCTTTTGTACTAGAACTTTGTCTGGAACAACTTTTGGTCTTGCTAACAATGAAAAGTTTGTTTCGTCTTTTGGTACAAAAGTTTCTGTCAGCTTGTCATCTGGAATTGGTTCCAACAAACCTTTCTCGAAAAGAATGTTTACAGCTCTGACAATGTTGCACTTACTTTTACCAAAGAATGGGTTTGTAAGACTTTCGTTCAACATGAAGTGGTTGTGGACAATTACAATCTTCAACCATGGTAAGTCTTTGTCAACAACATAGTCGTCATGTGAAGAACCTTTAGCTGTAGGTATGTTGACTCGGATATTGACATTTGCCAACGGTGCAATTTTTGCCAATTGACCTCTGAGAATGTACCTTGTCTTCACACATGACTCAAGATACTTCATCTTCTCATCTGTAACAAGACCAGAGTTCCTGAGACATGTAAGAATGCAAGGTTCATTGACAATTGTTTCAATTGAATTGTAAATTCCATACCTTGTCAAGTCAATGTCAGACTTATTTATGAACGGGAAGTATCCAGCATGTTGTCTGACTGCTTGAGGGTTAGGTTGGTACCATTCGAACTTGACACTTGCAATTCCTTCAATTGCATTCAAAATGTCTGAGTCGGAGTCAACCATTTGTTCTCTCTTTGTAGTCTTGAAAGCGTCAAGAAGTTTTGCGGCTGTTTGTTCATTGCCATGTGCATAGTAAATGTGACCATCCAAATCTGTTATGGTCAATCTGAGATTGTGTCCTTTCTTATTTCCGTCTTGAATTGCAGCAAGTACACCCATGAAGCCTTCTTTGTTCTTTCCTTCGTCAAAGTTTACTGTAAAGGTTCGACCAGATGTAATTTGACTTCTAACTTCACGATACTTTTCATATGAATATCTTGTTCTTTCCATGGGAGCATGTGCGTCTTCACCTTTTCCTTTTTTCCTTCTCAAAGGATGCAATTGTTCGTCATGTTTCCAGTAGAATCTGGCAAAGCCGTCGTGTCCTTCAACTTGAGGTTCACTAACATCGAAAGGCATGTCCATAAGACGTTCTTCTTCTAACCTCTCTAGTCTGTTTGGATAATTGGCACGTGCTGTTTCCAAATCCATTTCGTAGCGAAGACCAGACAATTTGTCATAGACTTTTATGGGTCTTCCCTTCCTATATTTAAAATTCTTCGAAACTCTCCAACCATATCTTTGTAACTCTGCTTTTATTCTAGCAGACTTTCCATTCTATATGGGGCATTTTTATAAAAATAAAAAAATATTTTTTTTTTCTTTACTTAACATAACCGCCTGCTGCCATAAGTCTTTGACGCCAACCCATACCAGCTAATGAAGGTTGACTTGGTTTAGTTTGGAAACTAAACTTTGGTTTTGGTTTATCTTCAGTTTTTGGTTTCTTCTTCTATCGGTTTTTCGTCACTTTTCGGTTCCTCTGACTTTACTTCACTTGCAGGAACAGTTGTGTCGTCAACATCTTCATAAATATCATATGCCATTTGTTTTTGTTTTCCTTTCAACTTTTTGTGTTTGTTGTAAAGTTTAGAATATTTCGACTCTAAGTCAATGAGATGTTCTATAATGAACTGTTGGTCAGTGAAGTAAACTTTTCCATCTGTTGTCTCGAAAGCTCCTTCAGACTTCAATATTTTTTGTGAGAGTCTGTTTCTTTTTTGAGATACTAGCCGTTCCATTTCTATGAAAAGTGACTTTGTAGTTAGGATTTGATTTCCAGACTGGCACTTTCTATTATTGAATTTTTCTCTTCATCTGTAAGTTCTTTGACAGGTTTTGACAATGGTTCTGAACTTTTTGTTTGTGGTGTCAAATCTAAGGTTTCAACTTCTTCGGTCATTTCATCTCAGTAAAAAATTTTAGTTTGGTTTGTTTTCAACTGGTTGTTGAGGTTTTTGAAGTCGGTCTAAAACTTCCTGAGGTATAGGAAGAACTTTACAAACACGTGGTTTAAATGCTGGAAGCCGACAAATCCATCTTGAACTTATTTGTCTCAATGCTGCATTGTTCATTTCATCTCAATAAAAAACTTTACATTCCCCACGTTTGAGGCGGTTGAGGTTGGTTATTGTTTACCCACTGTTGTGCATGGTTATATCCTCTGTTAAAGAATCTTTCACCTTGGTCCATATAGTGTCCTGCTTGGTTATAGTAGTCATTTGCTTTGTTATAATAATTTCCTGCTTGTCTTCCTACATTGTCCATCCATCCTTGAACTTTTCCTCTTGTTTCAGGATTTGGAATAAGATTTGTTGCATCTCGTGCTACATCCCAACCTTTCTGTACAGTTTGTATAATAGGTTGTGCTTTCTCTTTAAGTATACCTAATGTACTCAAAATCTTCCTTCCAACTCCAAATACACCTCTGGCTATTGTTCCCACTGCGGGTAAAAATCTAGATGCAACTCCTGCTAATGCGCCAAATAAACCCATTTCTTATGGGTTAAAAAATGACGAATCCAAACAAGGACCCCTATGTTTCTAAAGCGACAAAAAAAGCACTCATGATAAAAATCTTTAGTTCAACACCAAATGCTTGGTTTATGGATATCTTGGAAAACATTCCGAGGTATAGAGAAGATGGACCACCATACTGGTTAATATTTGTTGGTCAAAACACAAGATACTGTGAAGCCATACCATTATGGTCCAAAAATATTTTAGATGTGAAAACTGCTTTGACAATATTCGTTGACAAATACCATCCAACAAAACTGACATCTGACTGTGAAAGTTCTTTCAAATCAGATGATGTAAAAAACTATCTGCGTTCAAAAAATGTAAACCAATATTTCATTGTCGACCAAAACCATTCTGCTCTTGGTGTCATTGACGGTTGTATAAAAATGTTAAGAGACTTAAACCAACCACAAGGTGGTGAAGCAAATGAAATGTCATATGACGACAAGTATAGACACTTCTCCATGGCAAAGATGAGACAAGTTTTAAATATTTACAATAACCGTAAACAAAAAGGTTTGGGAAACCACTCCCCCGAAGAAATGAAAAACAACCCTGACTTAGAGAAAGACTATATATTTAATAATTTAGTCAAAAGAGACAAACAAGAAAGAATGCCGGGCTTCAAACTTCAGAAAGGTGACAAAGTAAAAATAGAAATACCTAAACGCGACCCATATGAAAATACTATTGACTATGACAACAATGGGAACCCGACAGGTACTCACATTCGTGTTCGTAAAAATAGAAGAAAGTATACAAGAGAATATTATGAAGTTTTAGGCAAACATGGCAAAATGTACACACTGCAAGCAGAAGATAAAAATACTATTGTCAGACCTCGTTTCAAACTTGTCAAAGTTCAAGGTGGTATACTTTCAAAAACAGTTCCTAACAAATATAAGACAACTCCAGACGAATATGCTAAAGAAGTTGAAAATGACGACTAAGCAATTCTATACCATGCGTAAACTGTCATGTAAGGTGGCATGTAGTCTTTACTTTGTCCCGTTGTTTGCGTATATCCTGAAACGTGATGTGTATGGTCTCCTTCTCCCCAAGTGTCATCCCAGTAACAATTTATAGCAAACTTAACGTCGTCTTTAACATCATATCCTTTACCTTTTGTCATTCCTGACCAAACCCAATATCTATGCCTATGCCAACCTGCTTGAGATGTACTTAAATTTATGTAATGACTGTGTGCAGGTAAATTTTCACCTGAAATCGTTTTACTTCCACCTGTTTCCTTTGAAGAGTTTGCACAATACAAAAACCTGTCGACTATTTGTTCCCATACACCAACACTAAACATTACTTGAGGACCTCTTGCATCCATAGATGTATAAATAGAACCTACTGGGTTCATTAAATCAAACATATGAGATATTATAGGATTGTCCCTTTTGAACTTAAAATATAGTGCAACTATTTCTGGTTTCTTCTGGTTTGTGTCAGAATATTTTTTATAATATAATCTTATGTTTTCAGGGTATGTACAATCTTGACTATAATATTTATTTCTGTCATCTGTATAATAATATACTATTCTCGTTTTTTCTATTGCATTATATCTTTTATATCTATAATAATCTAAATATAATGTTAACTTTTGTTCATCTACATGTGGTGTTCTGACATCATCTCCATAGTCATAATAATATGGTGCTGGAGATGGGTCAGGCAATGTCATATCTGCCATTTCATAAACTCGGAAATATTTCTTTTGTTCGTCTCCATATAAGTTTAAGTAGCAGTTGTTGTCTAATGGAACTTTAACTTGTGTACCATTATTCTTTATATAGCTTACATACATTTCATTGTTATTTTTCGGAATGAGTTTATACCGTATACCATTTTTTAAGGAATGTACAAACTGCCATCTAAAATATTTATTTTCTTCATTGACAGAAAAGTCACCAACAATAGTTTCAATATTTTTTGTTCCAACTAAACTTTGGTATATTTCATTGACATATGTTTTATCTGCTTTTGTCTCTAATGTTTCTTGTAAGTTTGTAATATTTGCAATGGTATGTGTATGTCCAACGTCACTTTTCCTGTTTAAGGTTTCTTGTAAGTTTGTAATATCAGATATAGAATGTGTATGATGTTTTTGTGGATATGTTCCTTCTGTCCATGCGAAAATATATTCTTTTGTTGCATCTACATATCCAGCTATCCATGTCGAGTCTGCTTTTGTATTCCTTAACTCTGTAACACCTTTCTCAAGCTCTTTCAACTGTTGTCCATCTTCCATTAAAGCTCTGTCATGACTTGAAACCGTTTGTGCCAACATATCTACAGTTTCTTTGTCAGCTTTATTTTCAACATCCTCTTTTGTTGCATATGTTGCATTTGCTCTGTCATGTTCTTCTTGAACTTTTTCAATGACATATTCTTTGTCAGCTTTGTTGTCAACATCTGCTTTCAAAAGAAGTTCATTTATAGGTTTCTCGTTTAAAGTTCCTTTTGTTGGATTTATACAGACAGTATGGTTCTTATTGTCTTGAAATAGAAACTCATCTGTCATAGGGTTTATTGTCAGTTTTAGGTTTCCTTCTTTCAATGACTCAGATATTTTAGCATAGTTTGAAAAGTTTGTTGTGTTCTTATTTAGAGCTTGCATAATGAGTTGTCGGTTGTGTTGTATTTCTCTCATAGACGCTGTTTCATTTGACATTTTTATTATAGATAAAATATGCTTCCAATAGAAAAAGAAAATTCTAGAGTTGCTACAACTAAACCATTAGATGAACTTTTTACTAATGTCGGTCAAAAGTTTGACTTAGATACTATAAAGCATGAAGGCTATCGTTTTGACTACCCATTAAGATGGTTAAGAGACCCATCTGTTACTAAATCTATTGGCTTTCGAAGAATAAAATTTGTGTCTGTAGAAGATAAAAGTTTTCCATTTATTGTAAGGTTTCATATAGATTATATATCTGAAGGGAAACGAAAAATGTGGGAAGAAATTGAGCTAATACAAGTTGACCTTTCATCTTCTCTACAGACTGCGTTAAAAAATATAGAAGATAAAATAAATTCATGTTATGCAAAATATGCTGATGAATATGCAAATACCAATAGCACACTTTATGTGAGAATTGTATATGACAAACAAAATTCACAAGTGTCATTTCAAATCTACGAAAACAATCCAAATAAAGATGAACAAATATATACAGAATTCACTGCAATGTCATGGTATTATTTGCAAAGAATGTTAAATCAGAAAGTCGAACTTCCTTTAGCAAATATTTACAGTCGATATGCAAGAGATGAACCATATTTATTTAAAGATGTTTTCGACCAAGATGCTATTATTGTTCATGCTTCATTTTCTGGCGCCCAAAACTCTTTCTTATGCTTGGCAAATGACTTTTACGAAAAACCTACAAAGTTATACGAACCACCAAGTGGAAGTATTTCAGACTTTCAAGTATGGTTTACTACAGATGGAAGAAAAAGAATAATTCCATTATACCACGCGTTTTACTTAGAACTTAGTTTCATATACAACTACTATCGAACGATAAAAATATAACTTTTTAATACGGTTGAGGTGTTGGATTTGGTTGCCAACTAGACTGTGGTGCAGGTTCAGGCCGTTGTATAACGGGAGCTTGTTCTTCTGGTTCAGGGTCTTTAGGTATAATACCAACGAACTGACCTACTCTTTTACCAATATTTTTGACACCGTTCCATACTCCTCTTCCGACAGATTTTATTCCATTCCATATACCTCTTCCAACTCTTCTGAAGAAGTTTCCAATACTACTGAAGAAACCCATTTTACTACGTGTAAAAATCTAATGTCCACCTAGTCTTTTGCGTTTCCTGTTGAGTTCCATAGCATTCTTTAACTGGAGCTCATACATTCTGTTTCTCCTCTGGTAGAAAACATATTCTGGGTCAACTCCTGTGTTCGCGTCATCTGCATAAAGTTGTTTATATCCGACTTCAGGGTTTGTATAAAACTCTTTCCATCTCATATTTGCATACCATGGTGGCAAACCTAACGCAGCGTCATTTGACATGGCAGTTTGCATTTGTACATCTGTTGGCACTTGACCATAGTTTGCCATTGCAGTTTGTATTCTAACTTCATTTGGAATATTCTCTGGGTTTGGTTGTCCAGGTTGCTGTGCATTCGCTAAGTTCTGTGCGTCCATTTAATATTAGATAAAAATATCTCTTACGAGTACATATGCTGAACATTTGCAGGCATTGGTTCATCTTCATATTTTCTGTACTTTTCTGCCACGTCAAATAAATAAATGACACAATGGAAAAAACCTAAAACAAGTAGTCCTATTTCAAACCACATTTACTTACTAATAAAATTTCTTTATTGTGACACTTTCTCCAGTTTATAGGACCTCTCTCATATTCTATCTTGTCATATCTAAACTCATAGTCATTTATATCTTCTAGCCATTTCATGACACTTTCCAAACCACTTTTATCGGATGTAAAGTAAAAGCATGGATGGTTATGTATAACGTCTAAAGTTTCTAAAGAGTCTCTCAAAGTCCAGTCTACTTGGTATTGAAAATTTCATGTGTTATAGAACGGCGGGTCCACTATAAAGAAAACATTTTCCTTGTCTTTATATTTTTCATACAACTCTGTCCAATGACATCTCACAAACTCTATACCCTCAATATATTTTTCTATGTCCTCTTTGAAAACATTTGTATAGTTAAGATATAAAACTTTTGACATAAGTGTTTCAATGTCATGAACTCTTATAGCACTACTATATAATAGTCTAGCAGATATACTATCCCAGTCTATATATTCTGCTTTTTTCAAAACTTCTCTCACAATATCTTTCTTATCTAATGGTATACGTTCCATCTTACCTATAGGTATCTTTTCTTTCAACTCACTCAATATTTTGTTAGTGTCTGGAATATGTTTGAGACGGTCCATATAGTTGTCGAAGTCATTGCATATAATCTTTGAGTCTGGGAATATTGTATGGCACAAATGGGATATATAGAAACTTCCACCGAACAAATCTACAAATGTTAGACCATTCGGTAGTTTCTTAAGTTCTCTCAATATAATATCTTTACATCTACTCTTATTTCCAAAGAAGGGTAACGGTGGTTTTGTAAAATTCATTTATATATAATAATAAAAATGTCTTTACCCGAAAAGTGACAAAAAAGTGATAAAACATGAAAACATATATAATTTGTGAAAAGTGACACAAAAAGTGACATTTTAAAAAGTGACACTATTAATATGATGTAAATAACAACGGTTTTGGTTTTGTCACCGGCTGGTCGGCTGGGGTTCGGTCCTCCTCTTGGGTCTTGGGCAAAATTTCTTAGGGGCTAGAGGGCGCAACGCGCCTGGAAGCCCCACTCACCTGACCTGTTTTTACTAATATCTCATATGAGGACGGGATCAAAATTTTCATAATCGGTCATCTCACTTTTCAAAATCCTTTATTATGAAATCTATTCCTCCTGCCAATTTATGCACAACAGACTTCCTAATTGGTGACCTCAAAGCCCCACAATATGCTGCCGGCTTGACACCAAAAGAACTCCAATATGCTGCAAATATGATTCTTGCCCAAAATGCTGGTGCTTTAGTTCTTTTTGACCAAGTTTCCAAAGAATCAAAGAAGATTCATGCTTTCCTCAGTGCCTTCCTTACAGAAACACCAATCGAAAAGCTCAGAAACGCAGAACAAAACTCACCTCTCTTCTACTTGTTAGAATTTGCATGCGCATTCTATTACAACTCAGGAAACTATCTCGGCTTTGGTGATACAAAGTTTGTACCACGTTTAACAAAGGAACAACTCCGCGAAATCGTTAAAGAGAACGCCCACGTTTCCAAACTCCTCGACGAATGCATTGAAGACATCTACGACGTCTCCGGTCCAAAGTCACAGCTTGGATTTAACCCAGATGGATGCACAGTCTACTATCAACCAGATGATTTCACACAGAGTGAAGCAGAAGGCATCGATCAGGTTCTCAAGGCTGCAGGCGTAAGAATTGAGAACACAGCAATCATCCGTCATGCTGATAAATACGAAGTTTCAGTTGCATCAATCGAAGTCGACGAAAAAGGCCAAAAGGTCGGAACATACAACGGAAAGGATGTTTACGTTACAAAGGGACGCTCCTCAGAAGCTCTCAAGAAGGTTGTTAAGCACCTCAACGAAGCATTGAAGAACGTAGCTAACGATACACAGGCAGAGATGATCAAATGCCTTATCGAACACTTCACAACCGGTTCCGTGGCCGCCCATGTCAAATACAGTGAGCATTGGGTCAAAGATGTCGATCCAGTTGTAGAAACACATACAGGCTTCATTGAGAACTACCGCGATCCAAAGGGATGCCGCTGCGAGTTCGAAGGCTTTGTTTCATGCGTCGACAAGAACGAATCCGTCGCTCTTCATAATTTTGTCGATTCATCAGCAACAATCCTCAAATTATTACCATATCCAAAGGAATACGAGCGTGCTACATTCAATCCACCATCATACAACGCATTAAACATCTTACAAATGACATCTACAGGATATCCGATCGGAATTAACATTCCAAACTACGACGAAATCCGCTTAAACGTCGGATTCAAGAACGTCACCCTTTCCAACGTTCTCTCCTCCGTCGCTGTCCAGAAGAGTGTCTTAGGTATCCTCGATCCTTCAATCCGCGACGTATTTTCAGAGTACTGCGAGCAAGTTGAGTCTCTCGCTGTTGCCGCTGTTGCCGCCCACGAACTCTACGGCCACGGCAGCGGTCGCCTTCTCAAGCAGAAGGACATTGAAGGAGGTAAAGTAGATGATCTTCTCAACCCAGGCCGTAAAGTCGAAACTTGCTGGCCAGAAGATGGCACATCCTTCGATCAGATGTTTGGCGCTTGCTCATCAGCTTACGAGGAATGCCGTGCTGACACAACAGCTGTTTACCTCGCTTTCTTCGATGAAGTTCTCGATATTTTCAATGTGGCCAAAGATAAAAGTGTCAGGAGGAACTTCCTCTTTGTCACCATTGTCAAGATGCTTGTTGCAGGTCTCTGCTCGATGTGGTGCTACTCCGCAGAGGCTCAGAGGTGGACACAGGCACACTCCGCTGCAAGATTCGCCATCCTCAGAGCTTGCATCATGTGGGGCCGCGGTGCTGCAGAGGTTAAGAAGCTTCCTGATGGCGGATACCAGCTCTTCGTCGATATCAACAAGCTCGACGGAATCCAGGACGCAATCACAAGGCTCCTCAAGCACCTCACTTACTACAAGTCAACATGTCTTCCTGGCCCAGGAGCAGAGTTCTTCGCAGCGATGACAGCTATCGATGACAGATGGATGGCAGTGAAGAAGTTCATCGACGCACCGCCAGGGAAGAAACCTGCTTACTGCGGTGGCGTCGTTCGCGGTGAAGCTGGCAATTACAAGATTGAATCTGTTGTCCAAGACAAGGCAACACCACTCGATGTCGCTCTTACATTTGTTGAGAATATTAACCGTGCTTCTCAGTAAAAACTTTATATCATTTTTTATATATAAATCTTTTTTTATTTATTTAAATCTTGTATGATGATAAGTAATGTTGAATGAACTTTTCAATCAAGTTTATTTGCATAGAATATAAGAGAAAATCTATTTTTTAGACGACAATGATAATTTTGTCACTTTTCCAGACGACAATAATAATTTGTCACCTTTTTAGACGACAATAATAATTTTGTCACTTTTTCCAGACGACAATAAAACATCCTCAAAATTATTTCAAATCACTTTTTTTACAAAATCTGATTCATTTTGATTCAGAATAGAAAAAATTGAAAAATAAGGTGTACAAAGACCTATGTAGGTCAGGTGAGTGGGGCTTCCAGGCGCGTTGCGCCCTCTAGCCCCGGAGAAACTAGATGAGGAATGATACAAAGACCAGATGAAAAAAATAAAAATATTATAATAAAATTAAATTTTTAGTCTTAAATTGTTTTTTTTTTATTCGGTATATTCTGAATCTTGAATGTCTTGGAAATTTTCTTCTTCTTCGCTCTCTGAGGTGAGGATTTCTTCGACTTCTTCTTCGCCATTGGGAGCAACAAATCCTGCGATGAAAACTTTGTATATACCTTCTTGAGGAGTCTCTATGATGAAAGTCGTATTGTTGAGGAAATGGAACTCGACATCTTGAACAAATTGGCAACTGCTGTGTGTGAATTTTGCAATTGTGAGAGGCTTTCCTTTAGAGCCATTGGGAAAGCTTGAGATAGTTACTGTTCCTCCATATGGAACTCTGGCAGGAATATCTAAAGCAACAGTTGTTATAACGTGGAAATTGTCTAAGAATTGAGGCATAGGTTCAATGCAGTATAGTTGTTTTGACTGGTTGTCTTTTGTGTAGAAATATAAATAGAATGACCTTTCACCATGTTCATTCAATTCTTCCAAATAATTGTATGAATTTGGATATATACGGACAAATTCAGCAATTTTAACTTCTTGTAAATGCTTCTGCAAGTTCTTTGGAAACAAGTGAATGAACTGGTCAATAGCTTGCAACGCTATGAGATTGGCAGTAACGGGTAAATATGAAGCAAACATGTCAACAAGTACGCCAGGGTCTTTGATTTCGTTTTCAAGAGGCTGAATGGCATCCATGACAGCTTGAAACATCTCGTTATAATCTCGATTGTCTTCTGAACCTCACTGTTCATTTAACTTATCTAACAATTCTAACCTTTTCTTTGCGTATTTTCTACGAACTTTCTCTGAAAGAGGAGTGTCGCTATCTTGTGTGTCTTGAATTTGAGACTTAAATTGTTTGCTAAAGGCGAGATATCGTGTTTGCGACCTAGTGGTCATTGCAGAATGTGTTTCTGTATGTTCGATTGGATGTGTTTCTGTATTTTCGGGTGGTTGTGTTTCTGTATGTTCGATTGGAGTCTGATTGGTATGAACTTCTTCTGAAAATGCTTCTGTTCCGATAGTTGTTGTTGCCTGACCTGTTGGCTGAGTTGTTTCTTTGTGCAAATGCATATTGTCCAACAATTTGTTTGCAATTGTATGAGGAAGTTGCTTTGGTATTATAGGAGGTCGTAAGGGTTTTGAGAATGGTGAGACATAAGTTGTAGGAACTTTAACTGCAGAGGGAGTCAACGAATTGTTTGCGACACTTGTTCTTCCTTCCATTATGAAAAATGAACTGTTTTTTTCGGACCACTCATAGAAAAGTTTAAAATAAACCGTTTTCGTCAACGGAGACCCCATCTATTTTTTTATTTTATTGAAAAGTCTCCGTTGGAAAAACGGTTTATCTCAAATATTGAATGAACTATAAACGTTTTTTGTTTTCTATATATACTTTTTTGTCCAACGGTAAAACTTTTTACACAACGGTTTTTGAGAGTCGTCGCCGTTGACTTTTTTGTAGAGCACTCAAAATAGTATAACTTTGTCCGGACAAGTAAGGGTCTATCGTCGCTACAGGAAAAGTTACAGGCGTTCCAAGGAAGTATACTTTGAGAAGCCTTTTCTCCCTTATAGAATGAGATAGGACGGTTATTTTACAAAACCGACAACACTTTGACCGAGTAGTTTTTTGTGCTGAACAAAAAGTGTCATATAAACATCTGTCAAAAACCGCTTTTTAACTTCACTTAAAATGCCACGTAAGCTACGTAATAATATACGTAAGAGGAAGGGAGCATTGAAACACCCAATAGTAAAACTGACACCACAACAACAGTTGCAACAACAAATGATGAATGACCCCACTATGTTGCAACAAATGTCAAGCAACCCTATGCTTTTAAACCGAGTTATTGGTGCACAGAGTGGAGGTTTAAGAGCGGCACTTTTAGCGAAAATGGCAGGCTATGGTAGAGCTGCAGACGGAACAGCTTATAACCCTCAAAGTCAAATGAATTTGAGTTCACTCAAAAATCAAATAACAGATGTCAAAAAGTCAAACATAGACATACAGAAACAAATAATGAAAACGAAAAGAAACTAGAATATGACAGACACACAAAGAAACTCAATGAGTTAAACGTAGAGAAAAAGAAGAAAGAAGAACAACTGAAAGAACTAAGTACAGAGGAATATGCGAAAAAAGTGTCAGAAAAAGCAGCAGAAGTAGCAAAAATGGAACAAGATGTTATAAATTTGAAAAACCATACTACTCAATATAAAGTACTGAAAGATGAAGAGATAAAACAAAAAGCCATGAAGACATATATGGATAGCGATGAGTATAAAAAAGAAGTTGAAGCAAATGTAAAGGCAGAAAAACTTTTACAGTTGCAAAACCAAACCGTACAGTATGAAAACTTAGCACAAGAAAGTAAAAATAACGCGCAGCCATGCAAAAGGCAATGAAAAGCGCAGAATATATAAAAGCTAATAATGACTGGTTAGATGCCCAAGCCAACGCTAAAGCAGCCCAACTTATAGGGTCAATAAGGACAAAAATACAAGCGGATGAAGACAGTTCAAATGAAGCTTTAATGAATGCTGACTTTAAGAATGCCTTCGAAGCTCTTCATAGTAAGGTGAAACTAGTGAACGACTTCTCATCTGGAAAGAAACTGAAGTCTGAAGGTTTCGACAAAGAGTTAAGAGAAGTAGCACAAAATATGACGAAAATAACAGATGCAGCAACGTGACAGGCAGTTCAAAGTGCCTATGACGCCGTTAGAGCAGCTGTTGTGGGAAGTCAAGAAAAAGAGTTACAACAGACCAAAACAGACCTAGTAAATGCTTTCTTAAAAACGAAAAGTCAGGTAGGACATTATGCTGCAGATGGAACATATGTGCCAGCTGGTGGAACTTATATACCACCAAACCCTCCAAGAGAAGCACCTGCACCAGGACTACCTAAAATATTCATGTGATTTTATCCCAAGCATATGGGGATTCTAAATTTTTGTCCCTATCGTTATCCCAATTGAATTTTTTTTGGAATTTAAAATTTTTTTCTGCATGTAAACTTAAATTTTAATTTTTACCACTAAAATGCAATATTTCAACAAATTAATGAGTAATAATATTTTAATTTATAATAATTATTATAAATCTCCTCAATTTAATGTAATTATTGTATTAATTTTTGTTGAAAATATAAAATCTTCAAGTAAATGATGTGAATTTAATATTTTTAGAATGTTGTTTAATTGTACTATATTATGCATGTAAAATTTTGTTACAATACATTTTATATGGGATCCCCATTGCCCAATTGAGAGAAAATGAGTAGGTGCCAAAAGTGCTTACTCTTAAACAACCGTCGGATTTCCGGGTGAAATCGTGACACACTTTCGTCTTTCGTAGGCAGTGGTGGTTGTTACAAAAGGTAACTTCGAATGTAGCGTGAAATCTGCAAAAAAAATTCTGAAATTTGAATGGAGAACACAAAAATTGAATAGTTTACGTCAATAAAAAAGAGAAAAATGAAGCCAATGTGTCTCGAACCTAGGACTTAGAGCAGCAATCCCACTGTTTATCCCATTACACTACATGCATCTCTCACCTCAGTGAATGAGATCAACTATATGATAACTTTTTCCCCATTATATTCTTGTGGAAAAGTGACAAATAGCAACTTTGACCCTCTCTCGAGAGAAAATTGAGAGGTGGGATTGGGCTAGCCCAATTCAAAATATCCCAGGTGGAAATAAAAAATTAACAATTCAACATAAAAAAGCATCTTAAATAATAATGATAAAAAAATTTTGTATGAATTTCAATCAAATTTGTTTTTATTCAACTTAAGAAATCACTTCATTAATGAAAGAAGTCGGGTTCACAACATATCCCGATCTTGAAACGAAACAACATGTTTACATGCGATATAAACATGAAGGTAGTCCCAAGTGGTATGTAAAATGCAATGAACTTGTGACACGATCTGATGGCGTAGTTTGCCGGTGTTCAATGCAAGAACAAAGGGAGGATCATTATAAAAACTGGCTTAAGACTCATGTTCACACATGTCAGGCCGGAGAAGCATTATCGCAGCAAACATTACTTGACTACTACAATAAAGGTAAACAGCCAAATGATCCAATGTTGGATTTATCGAATGTATACGATGAAATGACCATTTTTACCGGTAAGTTCAACCTTGCCTTAGACACATTTGCATCCCCAGAATTCACGCATGTTGCAAAGATTTTCATTATGTTCACAATATATCAAATGATGAACAAATACAAACAACTTCAGTCAGCTAATATCAATCCGGAAAAACTTGCTGACAAATTATATAAGCCTATTACACGTGATGAGATCCGAAATAGAATGATTGCTATTGCTAACAGCATACACCTTGCTAAAGTTCTCGAATTCGCCAAAAAAGCATACACTTGTGTCGCCATCGATGAAGGCAAGACACATGATTACCACAATCTTGATTTTGTCTTAACAAATCCGTTGGAGCAAATGAAGCCATACCCAGTAGAGGCGATAGATATGAAGGATGGCCAGACAAGTCAGGATTATAAATCCGCAATAACAGCAGGATTTAACAGAATTGACATTAGGAAAGTCAAGATAGGTAGTGTGGTAGTTGACGGAGGACCAGCACAGTTAAAATGCTTCAAAGATACTTGGAATGATTCATTCTATCATGACAGAGATCCAAAATACTACAAGATATTGCTTATTCCCTGTTTGTGTCACAGAATCCACAACAGCTATCAATATATTGCTGGCAAGAACAACCAGTTACAAAGTTTAGTAAAGGATGTGCACAGAATTGCAGAACTTTGTCGCATTCATGCTGACGATATAGGTGCACAATGTCCACAGCATGTATCCACCAGATGGATATATGACTATAATATATGTGTCTTTATTCTTAAGTACGAAAACAAAATCAAGCAATATATAAATGTAGATCACGATAAAATCGTACAATTGAAAGATTGTTTAGCTGTTCTTAAAAAGCTAATCTTAGTATTCGAATCGGATAAGGCATTGTTGGCAAATTGTTACATTTGGCTTCGTAAAGCCATATCAGCTCTCAATCTTTTGACATCCAATTTGCATAATGCATTCGGATCCATCTTGGCATCTTCATTGGATAGCTATACCTTGGACTCTGACTTTGGTGGGCTATGGTGTTTATTCTCTCTCACGCCGAGAGGAAGGTTCTACTTCCATAGAAAGTTTGTTAAAAACGAAGAAGTAGAAGATTTGGCCGATCCCTTGAGTTCCTTTCAAAGTGAGCATATTCCTGATAAAGATCCGGCAGAAGATTTACAGGACATTTACATGGATTCTATTTTTGAGGAAGGTAACACAAACGCTGTAATTGATGTAACAGATGAAGGCACATTTCGTAGAATTGTCGAATCTGATGATCAACTTAGGCTTACATTGCAAGATGTACGCGAGGATAATCATCAGACTGCCGAAAATGATCTAACAGCAGCTAAAGATTACCTCAAGCGCATTTTGGTTCAATTCCGATTGAACGAAAGACAAAAAACGCTTGTACTCTCGTTATATAATACGTTCATCAATAAGGAATCAGACATCTTTGAGAACGATCTGATGGACGAGGCACAAAATTATGCTTGGGAAGAGATCTCGCATAGAATTGGAGAAAAATCCATCCTTGCGGAAATAGCATTACGCTTGTTATGTTCATCTCCTTCGGAGGCAACACGTGAACGTAATATCAAAGCACAAAGGTTAATTTTGAACGTTAGGCGGTTAAGATCCAAGAAAAACTTGTTAAATAGCCGTCATATCTTAATGGCAACTAAATGAAATAAACATTTTGTTATTATTTATTTTTCAATATTAAATAGCCATTTTCTTCACAAATATTTCAATGTGTTTTTACAACAATTTAACATTCAATAATTTATAATGAATCGTTCTCTTTCATTAAACATTAATTAAAACCTCCGGTCATGAATATTTTTTTTGTTATTATTATTTTGTAATTTAAAATCTAATAATATATAAGAGTAATATTTATTATTTTATATTTTAATTTGTTATGATAATCTTTATATTTACAATTTATAAAGCACCGATCCACAGATAATATAGTTCAGTGGTAAGAGTCATAGTATAAGCCTTAAGTTCCCCAGTTCGACCCCAGGGCCTTTTCGTTTTTTTTCTTTTTAGATTTTTTTTCTGAAGTTTATTTTTAAGGTTCTCGTTGGCGACCCCCCGTTCACCAAAAAAATTTTTGATTTTTGCTGGCGACCCCCCTTCGCTCGATATTTTTTTTGTGAACGGGTCGCCAGCAAAAAAAAGATGTCAAAATTTATCCCAAAAATTTTAAAAAAATCGAAGAAAGTGCATCCCAGGGATTATAAAATTTAAGTTTTCACATCTCTAACCTAAAACATTTACATCGTCACATGGACACAGACACAGGCATGCACCAAAACCAACACAACAACCAACAGTTCAAAATCCAGCACCACAACAACCAACACAACAACCAACAGTTCAAAACCCTGCACAGCAACCAACAGTTCAAAACCCTGCACCACAACAACAACCAACAGTTCAAAACCCTGCACAACAACAACCACAAACAGAGCAAGGACATAAAAGAAGTAGAGAAAAAGGAAACCAAGAATTCTTAAAAATGCTTAAGGAAAATTATGGTTACCCAGATACTCTTGACTTTAGTGACAGATATAAAGAAGCTATTAGAAAGTTCAAGGAAGGAAATACTGACCCGAACCTATTTAGCTTTATGGTTCAGCATCAAATCGGATATAATCTCAAACCTGGAAAATACAAGCTCGCAAAGGGATATGATTTAATAGCATATCATCCAAATGACATGGATGAATTTACTCCGAGATATTTGATGTCAGAGCTAAATGATAATTCAACTCTCTTCATGAAACGTGTAAAAAATAGAGACGGAACGAAAGAAGAAAGGGTTATGAATGCGGATGACTTAGAAAGGGAATTCGTTAAAAACGGTCTCGGAATATATGAAATGCCAGCAGATGAGGTACAAGAAACTCAACAGGAAGAAGTTCAGATACAACCAGACATGGAAGAAATAGTTCAGCAACAACAGCTAGAAGAGCCTGAAGGAAACGAACAAGTCCCTCCTTTGGAAACTAACTTCACAGAACTAGATGAAGATTTGGAACAGCCGAAAAATCTTGACCCTCAACAAGAGTATGAGGTGAATATGGAATCTTTCCAAGAGTCTAAGAAAAATTCGGCTGACATAGTAGAAGAATATCGAAAAATGTTCACCGACATACAAAAGACTCCAACATCAGATGAAAATATTCAGCATAGAATGGAAGAACTGAAAGATAATGTACACAAATACAATAATCCTTTTTACTTACGACCATATAACGTTCAATCTTTGGCTGAACTCGTGTGAAAATAAAAGGTTAAATTTCAACAAAACATATAGAAATGAAACATTGTTTAAAGTTCATTCAGAACCTAACCAATATGGAAACAAACCTACTTTTGTTTCTGCAGACTATGGAACTACAATGAGATGGGGTCATAAAGCTAATCCGGATAGGTGGTTCATAAACTTACAACCTCAATTCCAAGAAGTTGTAGACGCAATGGAAGTGAATGGTGAACCAGATATAGCTGGTATTTTCAGCGCGGCTTTAATGCCATTGAAAGATATGAAACATGCAGATATTTTGGACCAGTATGAAATGAACATGGCTGAGGGAAATATAACACCTGACGTTCTAGAACATTTATCTCAAAGAACTACACAGAACCATAGAGATGGTATATTTGGTGAAGAGTTTAGAAAGAGGTTAGGGAGAGAGAAGGAAGAGAACCTATTGTACATGACCTTGCAAACGAAAGTTTGCAAAATGTCATAAAAACTTACTTGCAGACAATGAACCGAGAAGGGATGAAATTTAAGAAAACTCAAATGGACAGTACCAAATGAAATGTTAGTATTGAAAAACATGTTCCATGACAAAATAAAACCAACTACAGAAATAAATGACGCAAGACTGAAACGTTGGGTAAAAGCTTTCCCATTCACAAAAGATATTATTGGTAACATGGAAAGAAAACCAGAATGGCTACAAAAACATATATTTGGAAACGAGCTTATTCCATATGGATAAGCTCTGTTTGAAGAGCTTGAACCGGAAACTCAGGAAAGAGTCATGCAAACAATAAGCGAAGACTCAAATACAAACTATGACAAAATCTTTCTAGGATATAGGTTACCTGAGATGGGCGACCAGAGCCCAAAGGCAAAAAGGACATGGGAAATTTACAACATACTAGGTGAACATGAGGCAAAGATGCTACAACTTGAAGCAGAGGGCAAGTTACCAAAAGCGACACCAAAGAAGAAGAGAAGAGTAGAACAAAGTGAAGTAGTGAAGAAGTAACTTCATCTAGTGAAAGTAGTGGCAATGAAGGAAAAAGAAGAGTTAAAGATTCAGTTAAAAACTCAGCCAGGAAGAAAGTAAAGCTTGGTCCGAGTGGGTTCTATATTACACATAAATCCAACTATTCTATATTTTTACCCATATGAAATGTACGCCGCTCAGAATATAACGCCAACAGTTTTGGATGCCATGAACGGAAATGTTTCCGAATGGATAACGAATGCGACAATGCCATTAGAAGGTCAGAAAAGTTCCTGGAACTTACGAATATACAACTGCTGTTTCTTATGGAAATGTAGGTGAGTTTGGAGAAGGTTTTCAACAACAGTAGATATTGCTTGCGACAGGTTTCACATTATTTCTATTGACAACTCATTCTTATACGTGGAACAAGACATTGAAATAAACCTTCTGCCAAGTTGTCTGACAAGAAAGGTTGCAATGGAATTTTCTATGTCGGATACCAATATGCTCCAGAAGTTTTCATGGATATAAGATATATTCTAACTCTGACTTAGTTCAAACAGTAACATGGGCAAACTATGAATGGTTCGCTTGAGAAACTCAGTACAACCACAAGCTAGAGAACAAACGACCAGTATGCAAATATTGAGAAAATAAGAAGACTTGACCCTAACGTTCCAGGAGTTTATGTTAACCTTTCTGGACAAACTGCAGCAGCAGTAACCAAAGTAAAACTGAAACTTAGAGTTCCTTTGTCATCTTTCCTCATCTTCAGGTTTTTAAGATACTTGCCAAACTGGGCAGAAAAAATTTCTATCGAACTTACTCCAAGCAAAAATAACTTAGTCATTGCACCAACACAAGACCCATTCACTATTACAGACGTAAAGGGAGCAAATAAAACATCATTCGCCGAATTTTGCAAAGACAAAGTTGACTTAGACTTTGGTTTCTCAAACTTCAACAATGAAGTAAACTATTATTTCAATGCTGCTGGAACTGCTTGGACCCAGTTAAGTTCACATGCGAAAATTTGAATGCAAGAGAATAGAAAGCAGACTTGCAGTCTATATGTTGGACCCAGATATTTCAAATGCTTTAGCTGCCAAATATATTGCAGTTCCACTTATGTTCCCTATACACCAAATATCTGTCAAAGACTTTGCAGGTGAAGTTGGAAACCAAAGTGCTGACCCAGGTGCAAGAACAGATATTGCTTTAACAACTGCAATGAAACATGCAGATACTATGTTTGTACTGTTCAGACGAACTATAAATGACTATTCTTGTTTCTACAACCCTGGTATTAAATATCATATAAACATAGATGGCAAATATTATCCAAGAGAAGAATATTCTACAGTTGAGGATATGAGGTCATACAACTTGACATTAGATGCTATGAACTTTAACAACAACTTCACAACAACTATTAACCCTGAAATGCAAAGTTCTATTATGCCATATGTGAAAGTATGGACTCATACAGGAGGTCAAAAAACTCAATATACAAATGGAGACCGTTCAAACTTTTGGCTTGGCATTCCATTTGCTGACTCAGAAGACTTTATGGTGGTATTTCAACTGTTGGTACTGTACAAATACAATATACTGGTGACAGAGACGGTCCAGATGAATTGAGAGCAAAGAAGTTTACAAAACCAATAGCACTCTTCACGGAAGATGCTCTTTTGAAGATTCGTTCGATGAAACCTGCTGGAGCTCCTCAGATTGGCATAACGACAGCTTCCATCGAGCAGATTTTGGCAGCAGGTCAGTAAGTTGTTCTTTGACACTTTTCTCACCATCGTAAATAGTTATGACACCTGTTTTGACATAATATTGTATTATAAACTTTCCTTTAGTAATATCGGTCAGTTTTGAAGTTATATTTTTGTCTGCTTCAAGAACTTTCACCATTTCAGTTATACCAACTTTCTTTGCTTTATGAAAATATTTAGGTTCAGCAAAGACTGCTATTCTATAACATTTTCCATTGTTTGTGTAAAGAACTATTCTGTCAATGAACTTGTATTGTTTGTGTGTGTAAACTTTGTTTTGCTTCAATTCGAAGAGATACTCGAATGCGTCCATATTTTTATTCTAAGTAAAATGTCATTTCCAAAAAATAGAAGCGTAAGTGTTTCAAAAGGTTTAATGGCGGTGGCAGATGTGAAGTTAAATTCACCAACTCAAACAAACAGTCAAAGTGTTATTGTCAATGTCAAAGACAGAGATGTTGAAGTGGGGAAACCATACGAAGACGAAGATGGTATAACAATTGTTCTGTAAAAGAACCAACATATCCTGAAGTTAACAGAGACTTAAGTTCTGTTGCAGATATTCGAAACGACTACCAACAACTGAAAGACAAACTTCAAACTCAGGAGAAGATTTGCCAAGCTTTAAGTATAATGTTAAACTTGGTCGAACACAACCCTGTAAAAGTGAACTCATATGTCATTGCACCTCATGAAGTTTTGAAAGAACTATTGAAACTTTTGACAGAGGCAGACGATATAAACATCAAAGAAATAGAACCCGACATGTTGCTGTGGTGTTTCATATAATGTCATTGACAAGATATACGTTATGAAAGGAGGTGAAACGTTGAACTTAAATATAGTTTCCCAGACGTTATAAAAATATTTGACGACCACAACATTTCATTAAAGTTTATTTGCTAAGTAAATGGCAAAGACATAATGGTTTATACTATTACGACTAAAAACCCTGAGTCATATAATTCTATAACAACAAACTACAAAGTCCTCAAGGACGATATTGTAAACTAACCTTAAACACAATGACGACTAAAGCCTGTTTTGCTCTTTTGACACTAGAAGACTTTATGTTGTGAATGGTAAAAAACTCCTTTAAGATACTTACTCAGATATGCCACCAACAGGTTTTTTGACTTATTTAATACTTTAAGTACGGGTGTAACATGTGCTGCAACTAGAGCAGGTTTCATTATGTTTGGATGTCCGACTGAGTTTACTATTAATGATATGAGCTATAATACAAAACTTATTTCTGGTTTTTTACTACCAACAGTTTCCTATAACAGGAAAAGGTGTCATACAAGGAATGTCTATTCCATTGACATTAAGCACACCAATCTTATATATTGTTTCAAACTTAGGTTCAAAGTGTTATTCGAATGTCGACAGAAACTATTATGACCAAAAGACTTATGCGTATAAACAATACATTCTCTGCTGGTTTGCCTATTGTTCATTCGAATGCAGAATTTTCAACCTTAGTGAACTCAAACACTTTGGCAAGTATAACGTTGACATTAGTTAACGCAAACTTTGTTCCTGTAAAACTTTTATGTCCTATGTATTTGTCAATGACGGCAGAAAGTTTCGAATTGGAAGATGCAACTGGTGAAAGTATTGTATTACAAGAACAACTTCAACAACAAATAGCTCAAGAACAACAAATGCAATGGAACAAGTCAAGAATAAAAAAATAATTTTTTTATTTTTATAAAAATGTACAGAATAGATGTTTCAGATTTTTATGACTTCCAAGCATTCAGAAATATGCGTCCATTTCGAGACTATAACAAAGCAGTCGAGAATTTGAAACGTTTAGTCATTTATGTCGACTCTGCCCCAGAATGTTATGTATGAAAGAATGGGATGTAGTCTTTAACAAACCTAAAGCGACAATAGTTTCAGAACAAGAATGTAGACAGAAACTTAAGAAAATAAAAGTCGTACAAGTTGGCATGAAGATGTTAGATGCTTGGGATATCTTATTGTCAAAGTTAGAAGATTTTTCAGTTCGTGGTATAAAGTTTTATACACCATCTCCAAACTTCTATTCTATCTTCACTGGATATAAATATGAACAAGTAGAATGGAAAGAAAATATTATAGAAGCTTGGTTAGACCATGTCAAAGAAATTATATGCAATGGAAACGAAAAGGTTTATGAGTATATCTTATGTTGGTTTGCAAACATCTTACAACATCCAAGTGCTAAGAATGAAACTGCTCTCATTATAATTGGAAAACAAGGAACAGGTAAGAACACATTCTTTACAGATATCTTATGCAAACTGTTAGAAGGTTATTCGAACCCTAATATGACAAACTTAGAAAACATCTGTGGTAAATTTAACTCTTCAATTGAGAATATGAAACTTATAGTTTGCAATGAACTTCAAAGTATAGATACAACAAAGGTTTTAAACTCAGATGCTTTGAAGAGTCTTATAACAGATAAAGTTGGAGTTGTTGAAAGAAAGTATAAAGACTCAAGAGTTTGTGAGAATGTTGCAAACTTCATTATGGTTTCAAACAATGCTGTTCCGATGAAGTTAGAAAGTTCTGACAGAAGATATGTAGTTGTCAGAACGTCAGATTCTCATATGCAAGATACTGAATATTTTGACGCTTTGTCAGAATGTTTGACATCTGACTTTTACAACCACTTGTTCTCATATTTCATGACATTAGATATTTCTAAGTTCAATCCAAGACAAATTCCACATACCGAAGAGAGACAAACATTGTTAGAAGCAAACAAGAGTGTTTATGAACTGTTCATAGAAGAAAGCGACATTGTGTCATTAGATGAAAGGTCTTTATATGATGAATATAAACAATATTGTCAAGAGTATGGTTATATGCCAGCGTCTAAACGAACATTCTTGGCAAATGTCAAAAGTCTTTTAGACGTACAGAATGGTGTATATACAAAGAAAATTTTTTCTGAGTAAATTTAAAAAAAATATTTTTTTATTCTGAAGAAAAGATGGCAAAATTCATCTCAGTAAACAAGTATATGAATGAAGTCAAAGATAAGTTAGAACCATTCACATATTTGACTGTTTACTTCTACCATTTTGAAAAGTCTTCATTCAGCAAAGTTTGGAACATCGAACCAGTTAAGTTTGCTATTGTGACTAAAAATGGTGCGAAATTTGAAGACTTAGACATAGAAGGTTTGTTAACAGTCAAAGAAAGTTTTGACAGAAGGTTCTCAAACCTTAAAGAAGGCAAAGCATACAAACTTGTTATACCTTATGAACCAAAGAAGACAGACGACTATGAATATTATGAGTCTAAAGTTGTAGAAGTTCAAGGTAAATTGGGTAAAAAGATTTTAGAGTCTAAGCCAGTGTTTACTCCTAAAGAGGAAGAGAACATTGACATTGACCCAGAAATGTTCTAAAAATAAAATTTTATTTTTACATGTCAAATTTCTTCTTCGGTGGAACTGGCTCTGGTTCAGGTTCTTTCTTCTCTTCTTCTACTTTCTTTTCTTTATTTTCTCTCTTCTTCTTTTCTTCTGGAGTTATGTCAAATTTCTCCGAACCATATTTATGTAAAAGTTCTATGTCCTTTAATAGCTCTTCTATTCTGTTTTCTATTTCATCTTGAAGAAAAGCGCATGTGTCTTCTTTGCATTCTAAGAACTTTTGTTGGACTTCATCTTTCCAATCGGCGTCATCTCTGTCAACAAGTCTGTCATTGACAAATTTTAAGACTGCTCTTTGTAATGTTTTATGGTTCTTGTCATATTCCTAGAAACAGAACTTTAGAACAAATTCACCTTTCTTGTTTACACTATGTAAGATTTTATGGTCGACAGATGTTTTGCTGTCAAAAAGTTTGTCTCGAATATAGATAGCGAAATCGCTAGACATTTTCTAAAAGATAAAAATTTTAATTTTTCTAAAAATATGTTAGAAAAAAAGTTTGCTGACATTGACAAAAAATTTGAGAATGTTTTAAACAAGAACAAGAGGAAGTTAGAAAATGCTCAGATAAAACCCATACATGACAAGTTCTTATTTGCTCAGAATGGTATAACAGGTCTAATTGCACCACCTGGGTCGGGTAAGATTTTCACTTATCTTAAAATGGCTGCACAACAACAAGAACTAGATGAGAAGAACCCATTCTATGAGTTAGTTGTCATTTGTAGTACTTCGGGTCAATTTGACCAAACCGTCAATTCGTTCAAAGATATTATAAAGAAGTCTAAGTTAGTATGTATAAAGGATACTGAGTTGTTAGATTGGATAAAGAAGTACCAAAGAAGAGTTTTGAAATATAATGCTATAAATGAGTATATAAATTCTAAGTTTAAAGACCCAAATGAGGAAATGCAGAGAATATTAGAGAAGAAACACTTCAGAAACAAACAGAAAGAGATAGAATACATTTCGAAGAAATTGCAATCTTACGATTGGAAAACGTACCCTCACAGATGTCTTCTTATCTTAGATGATTTCGCCTCTCATCCTTTGTTAAAGAATAGAGAACAAGACATGTGTCGAATTCTTAAGAAGCTCAGACACTTTAACATCTCAGTTGTCATTTGTGTACAGACAGCAAAGAGTTTAAGTAAGGATGTTAAAAGAATACTTACTGACATAATACTTTTCCCCGGATTGTCCGAAGACGATTTCATGGAACTTATGAAAGAGTCCATGGCAGGTAAGTTTGACAGACATGAACTATGGGAGAAGTACAAAGTCATACAAGACCCTCATACTTCTTTCAGAATTCATATCTACGCAAACAAAGTTCAAATTGTAAAAAGTCAAGCTTGAAAAATGTAAGTGTTTAGTCTTAGTAAGATGGTAACTTCTTAAAGCAAATACCATTGCTGAGTTTTATGTACGTGAAGAGAAGTACAATGAATTCAATTATGAGTACAACTGCAATGACAACTAAGGCAACTATTTTTGTCTTTTGCCAGCAAGGGTACTTCTTCTCTTCCAATGGTTCGGCAGAACTATACTCACTCATGAGAAATGCCAAAACGGTTTAATAGAAAAAGTGTTATTTTTTCATGTCCGAAGACTCGAAGGTGCAACACTTCCAAAATACCGACGAACTCAGAAGAGCAGCATGGCAGTATGTTCTTGACAACTTCTTTGAGTTCTCCAGGTACACCTTGGAAAATGCTGAAGAACTCCGACACAGAGAATTTGGAGAAATTGCACTCCAATACTACCTTGACAAACAAAGGGTAAATTAAGACTAAAAACTTAACATTTAAAAAGTGACATTTTTTATGAGCTCCGAGTCACCGAGAAAACTTGGTCAGATGTTAGCAGCTTACTTCCCTGAGGAGGATGGAAGCGTTACATACATCAAGTTCAAAAACAACGAACCTGGAATTGCGTACCAAATTCGCAATTACATGACCATGGAAGAGTACGAAAGGTTTCTACAAGAGAAACCAGCTCTAAACAACCCAGAAAAGAAAGAATAAAAAGTTTAACTCGTAATTGTTTATTTTTTTACTTGTAAGGGCAAGCTGCAAGAATGAAGTCGACTATCTCAGTCTTTGTCTTGACCAGTTGGACTGCTCTTGTAAGCACGTCTGTTTTGCGGTCTCCAGCTGGTGTTTGACCTTCGTAATTGCGCATGTTCTTGAGAGCTCCAATTGTAAATGGTTGTAGGATGAAGAGTCTCTCAGACTGCTTGGGGTAGTCTTCACGGTCACGAACCGAATCTGTGGTACGAGTCGAATTGGTCGACCTTAGGGAAGAGACTGAAAGCCTGTCGTCTTCCATCGGGGCTGTAGCGTACTCTTTGCGTAAACGGTTCAGACCTTCTTCGAACTCTTGGTCTCTCTTGGATTGAGATTGAGATTGGAATTGCTGGGGTGGAGCTTGCTGGAACATCCAAGGGTTGGGGAAGTAAGGCATAGGTTGAGGAGGGTAGTTCGGGAAGCCTTGTGGTGGGTAGTAACCTTGAGGTGGAAATTGGTAGTAATTCGGAGGTACTTGCTGGAACTGAGGTTGCTGAGGAGACTGTTGTGGTTCTGCAGCTTTCGGTTCTTCTGGCTTTGGAAGGCATTCAGGAAGAGGAACGTCAGTCATCCGTTTGTGTCCTGTCGGAAGGAAAATTTTTTCCTGTCGGATGGAAAAACTTTTCCTGTCGGATGGAAAAACTTTTTCTGTCGGAAGGAAAAATTTTTCTGAAGTTCGACAAAAAAGTTCTCAATTTTCGAAAATTTGAATGGTTTACGGACGGACAACTGGAAGAGTTCTTCCTGTCGTCGGGAAAAATTTTTCCCTTTGTCCGGAAAATTTTTTCCAGTTGTCGGGAAAATATTTTCCTGTCGGATGGAAGGACTCGGAATGCCAGAAGGATTTGACGAGGCAATTTACCTCATTGAACTTAACGACTGCGTAAAAGACTACTTGCGCAAGGTCATGAAGCCCAAGGTCAAGTTCACCACTATTTCTGGAAGGTCTACACTTCAGCTCGAGACTTCGACTGGAATTCCAATTCAAATACCAGACGGGACAGCCTACGATGGCATAAAGGACGCCAAAAGAGAAGCTCTTGTTAAGTTCCTAAACAAACGTCCTTGGATAAAAATACCAAACAAGGAGAACCCCCTACCCCATATGAAATTGGCAATTCAGTCTCTCCTTCACTTCTCGGGTCAGCCGTTCTACATAACCTCAGAAGGCGACATTCAGCCAGTTCAGTAAACATCTCATTTTAACTTCACTTTTTTATGTTTTTACTCACACTCGTACTCACCAGGTTTGTGTACAACTATTTCAACTGTGAACCTTGTATTGACCGGTCTTCCTGTAAATGCAAGTTTGGTCAATACACAGTTTATGGTGGCAAGAAGGACAGTGGGGAATGTTATTCTGACATCTGTTGTTGCTACTGTCAGATAACTAAAATTACAGACCCACCTCCCCCAAGAACTCCAACACCAACACTCAAATTGCCAAAGACTCATGTGAAGAAGAAGCCTTCTGGTAAGTTTCTTATAGCCATATACATGGCACGCTTTGAGTAAAAACATTTTTTTCATTTTTTGAATGAAGCAAGTTAAATTCGTCCCACACCAATCTCAATGGACCGATGAAGAGTTTCAAGCTATGGTTGAAGGTGTTGGGAACGACATAGACGGCGAACTTGAAGGAGCTCAAACCACAATTGCAACCAAAATTGCAGAAGTCAAGGAACAGATAGCTCCACTTAAGGCAACTAAAGCAACCCTTGACCTCATGGATACTTACCGTTTAGAAGTAAAGAGTGGAATAAGACAATTAAAATTGAAACTTCTAAACTACGAAGCTATACTCCAAAAGTTAGCAGAAATGAGAAGACTTTACCAGAGCTACTTACATGTAAGGGACTTACCTTCAAGCAGTCCGACCAAAGATGAATTTTCTGACATTGTCCCAATTTTGTCCGAATGTCAGCTCAGATGTTTTGAACTGCTCCCAAGATATCCAGAATATGAACGTTTGCCTGAACTCTTCCGCAATCTCAAAAAACGTTTTTTGGTTCTCATGTTCGAAACTTTTATCGGAAGAGACAACAAACGTTCAGAAGAAGAACAAGATATTATTTTAAACTTGTTGTATGACTTAACCGTCATAACAAGCTTTTTGAAGTAAAACCGTCATTCTCAAACCACTTCATTTTTTCGATGTCCGAACAAGCACCGAAGCCAAACTCAATGGAAGATGTCGCTGCATGGTTGCCAGACAAGCGCCCACTTCAACTTCAAATTATGAATTTGAAAGCTCATCTGACAAACACCGTTAAGACTCTCCAAAGTAGTCTTATGTCAGAGATGAAGGGACTTAAAGGTGAGTTCCTCATGAACCAAGCTTCCAATGAGAAAGTCCTGAACGATTTCGCGGAAACCTTGCGCCATTACGACACAGAGAACCGAAACCTTGCCCGACTCATCTACCGTTTCTTCGAAGAGATTGACACCATCTGGGCGGCACTTGGAAAGGACAGAACATGCAACACCGTAATTCGTGAACACAGAATTGCCGAAGGTATTATCAAAGTAGAAGAAGAAGAGGAAGAAGAGAAACACGAAGAAGAAGAGGAAGAAGAAGTTCCTGAAGCCGCTACATGGGCAACCCTTGTTGCCGATGACGGTTACGAAATTTCCCAACCCTACCCATACAAAATCCGCAACAAGGAGACAGGCAAGGTTCTTACCCCAGTTCTCAACAACTTGGGACACTTGAACCTTAACCTTCGGAATCGCGGTTCAATTTCCATGGGCAAGCTTGTCGCAATTCAATGGGTTCCAAATCCAGACAAGAAGACGAAGGTCAGACACATTGACGGTGACAAGCTCAACAACCGTAAGGAGAACCTCGAGTGGTTCTAAGAGTAAAAAAAAATTATTTTAGGGGAAACCCCAAGTAAATTTAAGTTTTTATTTTTGGTGAGAGTACCAATTTTGGAATGTGAAGACCACATCCCAACCTCTGTACGTGAGTCTTGGGTCCACGTCTAAGACGCTTCTGTAGCAATTCCAAGCCCGAGCAAATTCAATTGTCAACCACTCGTCTCCTCTGTAGTCTGTAATCCATTCTTTGAAGAGACGGTCGAGTTCGGGCTTGGAATATCTCTTGTCTGGGTCCGAGACCAACATTTGGTTGAACTGGACGAAGCGCTCAGGGATGTACGCCATTAAAAAAATGTCACTTTTTAAAAAAACGTTTTTACTTCATGCAATGTTTTATTTCTGTGCCGTCTTCAAGTATGCCCCAGTACTTACGCTTGGAGAGGACATGAACTTCGGTGAAAATTTTGTCCAATTTGAATCGACCCATCTTTTCACCGACCATACCCATTTCAATGAGTTTGTTGTATCCTTCTTCGTTCGTCATGAGTGCGTCAATGTTCTCATAGTAAACCTTGACTTTCGATTTGACTTCGGAGAAGAATTTGTTGTACTCGTCAAGGACTGCCTTTGCGAACTGAGGGTAAGACCAATGTTCGACAATAGGTTTTAATGTGGTTACTAAGCCACTTTGACCTTGAGTGAATTCGTACTTCAAAACAAAAGGAGAAAACCTTTCAACAAAGTTGTCGACCTTCTCATAATGTTTACTCTTCATCTCTTGAGGTTTCTTAATGGAATATCCCCATGTCGAATTCATAAGCAATTTGAGTGTCATTGCAAGTTTGGGGTTTGAAGCTTTCCTAATATCATACAGTTGTTGTATGACTTTTCCAACTGTATAGTTCCTTCCCGGGAACTCACCATCTTCGTTTGGAATTCCAGTCGGAATATATTGGACAAACCTCATGTACGCAGCGTTAAGGTCGACATAGTATATCTTTTCGTTTGAGTCGAACTTGTCGCAACCAATTGGTCCAGTTTGTGGAAATTCAAGTGAGTCTCTTATCTTCTGAGAAACTTCTCCTGTTATCTCATAAACATCGTCGAAGCAACCTGTTTCATATAAAACCTTCTGACCTAACTCAGATGCTCTCCAATACAATTTGACGTCAATTGGATGTCTCAATGGAAGTTTGTTTATAGCATCTTGAAGTTCTTGCAACCTCATTGGAAGTTCTTCTGGTTCAGGTTGGTATCCGAACAATCCAACTCCTTGTGGAACTGTGTACTTCTTTTGTACTAGAACTTTGTCTGGAACAACTTTTGGTCTTGCTAACAATGAAAAGTTTGTTTCGTCTTTTGGTACAAAAGTTTCTGTCAGCTTGTCATCTGGAATTGGTTCCAACAAACCTTTCTCGAAAAGAATGTTTACAGCTCTGACAATGTTGCACTTACTTTTACCAAAGAATGGGTTTGTAAGACTTTCGTTCAACATGAAGTGGTTGTGGACAATTACAATCTTCAACCATGGTAAGTCTTTGTCAACAACATAGTCGTCATGTGAAGAACCTTTAGCTGTAGGTATGTTGACTTGGATATTGACATTTGCCAACGGTGCAATTTTTGCCAATTGACCTCTGAGAATGTACCTTGTCTTCACACATGACTCAAGATACTTCATCTTCTCATCTGTAACAAGACCAGAGTTCCTGAGACATGTAAGAATGCAAGGTTCGTTGACAATTGTTTCAATTGAATTGTAAATTCCATACCTTGTCAAGTCAATGTCAGACTTATTTATGAACGGAAGTATCCAGCATGTTGTCTGACTGCTTGAGGTTTAGGTTGGTACCATTCGAACTTGACACTTGCAATTCCTTCAATTGCATTCAAAATGTCTGAGTCGGAGTCAACCATTTGTACTCTCTTTGTAGTCTTGAAAGCGTCAAGAAGTTTTGCGGCTGTTTGTTCATTGCCATGTGCATAGTAAATGTGACCATCCAAATCTGTTATGGTCAATCTGAGATTGTGTCCTTTCTTATTTCCGTCTTGAATTGCAGCAAGTACACCCATGAAGCCTTCTTTGTTCTTTCCTTCGTCAAAGTTTACTGTAAAGGTTCGACCAGATGTAATTTGACTTCTAACTTCACGAGACTTTTCATATGAATATCTTGTTCTTTCCATGGGAGCATGTGCGTCTTCACCTTTTCCTTTTTTCCTTCTCAAAGGATGCAATTGTTCGTCATGTTTCCAGTAGAATCTGGCAAAGCCGTCGTGTCCTTCAACTTGAGGTTCACTAACATCGAAAGGCATGTCCATAAGACGTTCTTCTTCTAACCTCTCTAGTCTGTTTGGATAATTGGCACGTGCTATTTCCAAATCCATTTCGTAGCGAAGATCAGACAATTTGTCATAGACTTTTATGGGTCTTCCTTTCTTATATTTAAAATTCTTCGAAACTCTCCAACCATATCTTTGTAACTCTGCTTTTATTCTAGCAGACTTTCTATCCATTCTATATGGGGGCATTTTTATAAAAATAAAAAAAAAATTTTCTTTACTTTACATAACCGCCTGCTGCCATAAGTCTTTGACGCCAACCCATACCAGCTAATGAAGGTTGACTTGGTTTAGTTTGGAAACTAAACTTTGGTTTTGGTTTATCTTCAGTTTTTGGTTTTTCTTCTTCTATCGGTTTTTCGTCACTTTTCGGTTCCTCTGACTTTACTTCACTTGCAGGAACAGTTGTGTCGTCAACATCTTCATAAATATCATATGCCATTTGTTTTTGTTTTCCTTTCAACTTTTTGTGTTTGTTGTAAAGTTTAGAATATTTCGACTCTAAGTCAATGAGATGTTCTATAATGAACTGTTGGTCAGTGAAGTAAACTTTTCCATCTGTTGTCTCGAAAGCTCCTTCAGACTTCAATATTTTATTTGTGAGAGTCTGTTTCTTTTTTGAGATACTAGCCGTTCCATTTCTATGAAAAGTGACTTTATAGTTAGAGTTTGTATTTCCAGACCTGGCACTTTCTATTATTGAATTTTTCTCTTCATCTGTAAGTTCTTTGACAGGTTTTGACAATGGTTCTGAACTTTTTGTTTGTGGTGTCAAATCTACGGTTTCAACTTCTTCAGTCATTTCATCTCAGTAAAAAATTTTAGTTTGGTTTGTTTTCAACTGGTTGTTGTTGTGGAGGTGGGATAATTCCTTTAATAATATCATTCAGTTTCACATGCTGAGCCTGACTATATGGTATCGGTTTAAATGCTGGAAGCCGACAAATCCATCTTGAACTCATTTGTCTCAATGCTGCATTGTTCATTTCATCTCAATAAAAAACTTTACATTCCCCACGTTTGAGGCGGTTGAGGTTGGTTATTGTTTACCCACTGTTGTGCATGGTTATATCCTCTGTTAAAGAATCTTTCACCTTGGTTCATATAGTGTCCTGCTTGGTTATAGTAGTCATTTGCTTTGTTATAATAGTTTCCTGCTTGTCTTCCTACATTGTCCATCCATCCTTGAACTTTTCCTCTTGTTTCAGGATTTGGAATAAGATTTGTTGCATCTCGTGCTGCATCCCAACCTTTCTGTACAGTTTGTATAATAGGTTGTGCTTTCTCTTTAAGTATACCTAATGTACTCAAAATCTTCCTTCCAACTCCAAATACACCTCTGGCTATTGTTCCCACTGCGGGCAAAAATCTGGATGCAACTCCTGCTAATGCGCCAAATAAACCCATTTCTTATAGGGTAAAAAATGACGAATCCAAACAAGGACCCGTATGTTTCTAAAGCGACAAAGAAAGCACTCATGATAAAAATCTTTAGTTCAACACCAAATGCTTGGTTTATGGATATCTTGGAAAACATTCCGAGGTATAGAGAAGATGGACCACCATACTGGCTAATATTTGTCGGTCAAAACGCAAGATACTGTGAAGCCATACCATTATGGTCCAAAAATATTTTAGATGTGAAAACTGCTTTGACAATATTCGTTGACAAATACCATCCAACAAAACTGACATCTGACTGTGAAAGTTCTTTCAAATCAGATGATATTAAAAACTATCTGCGTTCAAAAAATGTAAACCAATATTTCATTGTCGACCAAAACCATTCTGCTCTTGGTGTCATTGGCGGATGTATAAAAATGTTAAGAGACTTAAACCAACCACAAGGTGGTGAAGCAAATGAAATGTCATATGACGACAAGTATAGACACTTCTCCATGGCAAAGATGAGACAAGTTTTAAATATTTACAATAACCGTAAACAAAAAGGTTTGGGAAACCACTCCCCCGAAGAAATGAAAAACAACCCTGACTTAGAGAAAGACTATATATTTAATAATTTAGTCAAAAGAGACAAACAAGAAAGAATGCCGGGCTTCAAACTTCAGAAAGGTGACAAAGTAAAAATAGAAATACCTAAACGCGACCCATATGAAAATACTATTGACTATGACAACAATGGGAACCCGACAGGTACCCACATTCGTGTTCGTAAAAATAGAAGAAAATATACAAGAGAATATTATGAAGTTTTAGGCAAACATGGCAAAATGTACACACTGCAAGCAGAAGATAAAACTACTATTGTCAGACCTCGTTTCAAACTTGTCAAAGTTCAAGGTGGTATACTTTCAAAGACAGTTCCTAACAAATATAAGACAACTCCAGACGAATATGCTAAAGAAGTTGAAAATGACGACTAAGCAATTCTATACCATGCGTAAACTGTCATGTAAGGTGGCATGTAGTCTTTACTTTGTCCCGTTGTTTGTGTATATCCTGAAACGAAATGTATATGGTTTCCTTCTCCCTGAGTGTCACTCCAGTAACAATTTATAGCAAACTTAACGTCGTCTTTAACATCATATCCTTTACCTTTTTTCATTCCTGACCAATCCCAATATCTATGCTTATGCCAACCTGATTGAGATGTACTTAATCTTATGTAATGACTGTGTGCAGGTAAATTTTCACCTGAAATCGTTTTACTTCCACCTGTTTCCTTTGAAGAGTTTGCACAATACAAAAACCTGTCGACTATTTGAGTCCAAGTTCCAAAACCAAGTACTACTTCTGGTCTGGTAGAGTTCATTGAAACATATAATGAGCCAACCGGGTAAATAAGATTCGGCAAAATTTGTTTAAGCACATTGAGTTCCTGTCTTAGATGCATAATGTCATCTAACTTTTCGTGAAGTTCATTTACGTCATAGATGTTATGTGTATGATGTTTTTGTGGATATGTTCCTTCTGTCCATGCGAAAATATATTCTTTTGTTGCATCTACATATCCAGCTATCCATGTCGAGTCTGCTTTTGTATTCCTTAACTCTGTAACACCTTTCTCAAGCTCTTTCAACTGTTGTCCATCTTCCATTAAAGCTCTGTCATGACTTGAAACCGTTTGTGCCAACATATCTACAGTTTCTTTGTCAGCTTTGTCATCTAACTTTTCTTGAAGTTCATTTACGTCAGAGATGTTATGTGTATGATTTTTGTCGGCTTTATTTGAAACATCTATGTCAAGTCTTTGCAAATGGACACTATCTTCCATTAAACCTCTGGTATGACTTGAAACCGTTTGTGCCAACATATCTACAGTTTCTTTGTCAGCTTTATTTTCAACATCCTCTTTTGTTGCATATGTTGCATCTGCTCTGTCATGTTCTTCTTGAACTTTTTCAATGACATATTCTTTGTCAGCTTTGTTGTCAACATCTGCTTTCAAAAGAAGTTCATTTATAGGTTTCTCGTTTAAAGTTCCTTTTGTTGGATTTATACAGACAGTATTGTTCTTCTTGTCTTGAAATAGAAACTCATCTGTTAAAGGGTTTAATGTCAGTTTTAAGTTTCCTTCTTTCAATGACTCAGATATCTTAGAATAGTTTGAAAAGTTTGTGTGTTCTTATTTAGAGCTTGCATAATGAGTTGTCGGTTGTGTTGTATTTCTCTCATAGACGCTGTTCATTTGACATTTTTATTATAGATAAAATATGCTTCCAATAGAAAAAGAAAATTCAAGAGTTGCTACAACTAAAACCATTAGATGAACTTTTTACTAATGTAGGTCAAAAGTTTGAGACAGAGACCGTAAAGCATGAAGGCTATCGTTTTGACTACCCATTAAGATGGTTAAGAGACCCATCCGTCACAAAAGCTATTGGCTTTCGTAGAATGAAGTTCATTTCAGAAGCCATACATGGTTTCCCATTTACGGTCGGTTTTTGAAGTTCGATACTATAACAAAGAAAAACGTATGTATGAGAAATTTGAACAAGGAAAAACTTTTACAAGTGAATTTGCTTATAAACTTAGAAACAACTCTTCAAGCTTTTCAAGAAAAAATAAACGATATCTATATTGAATATGCAAACTAGTTTAACATTGACGAAGGAGATACCATCTCGATATTATTTATGACAGGAAAAATGCAACTGTTAAAATCAATAAAATAGAAGACCTTGGAGAAAACGTTTATATTTCTACAAAATATAACAACTTGGCATGGTATAGATTTATGAGGATGTTAAATCAGCCTGCAGCATATCCAGTACACCCGGACTATTATGAAGTCGAAAACCCTAATGGAACATATGAAAATATTTTCGACCCAGATGCTATTATTGTTCATGCTTCATTTTTCTGTGCGCAAAACTCTTTCTTATGTCTGATGAATGACTTTTACGAAAAACCTACAAAGTTATACGAACCACCAAGTGGAAGTATTTCAGACTTTCAAGTATGGTTTACTACAGATGGAAGAAAAAGAATAATTCCATTATACCATGCGTTTTACTGAGAACTTAGTTTCATATACAACTACTATCGAACGGTAAAAATATAATTTTTTAATACGGTTGAGGTGTTGGATTTGGTTGCCAACTAGACTGTGGTGCAGGTTCAGGCCGTTGTATAACGGGAGCTTGCTCTTCTGGTTCAGGGTCTTCAGGTATAATACCAACGAACTGACCTACTCTTTTACCAATATTTTTGACACCGTTCCATACTCCTCTTCCGACAGATTTTATTCCATTCCATATACCTCTCCAACTCTTTCTGAAGAAGTTTCCAATACTACTGAAGAAACCCATTTTACTACGTGTAAAAATCTAATGTCCACCTAGTCTTTTGCGTTCCTGTTGAGTTCCATACATTCTTTAACTGGAGCTCATACATTCTGTTTCTCCTCTGGTAGAAAACATATTCTGGGTCAACTCCTGTGTTCGCGTCATCTGCATAAAGTTGTTTATATCCGACTTCAGGGTTTGTATAAAACTCTTTCCATCTCATATTTGCATACCATGGTGGCAAACCTAACGCAGCGTCATTTGACATGGCAGTTTGCATTTGTACATCTGTTGGCACTTGACCATAGTTTGCCATTGCAGTTTGTATTCTAACTTCATTTGGAATATTCTCTGGGTTTGGTTGTCCAGGTTGCTGTGCATTCGCTAAGTTCTGTGCGTCCATTAATATTAGATAAAAATATCTCTTACGAGTACATCTGCTGAACATTTGCAGGCATTGGTTCATCTTCATATTCTCTATATCTTTCTGCCACGTCAAATAAATAAATGACACAATGGAAAAAACCTAAAACAAGTAGTCCTATTTCAAACCACATTTACTTACTAATAAAATTTCTTTATTGTGACACTTTCTCCAGTTTATGGGACCTCTCTCATACTCTATCTTGTCATATCTAAACTCATAGTCATTTATGTCTTCTAACCATCTCATAACGGTTTCCAAACCACTTTTATCGGATGTAAAGTAAAAGCATGGATGGTTATGTATAACGTCTAAAGTTTCTAAAGAGTCTCTCAAAGTCCAGTCTACTTGGTATTGAAAATCCCATGTGTTATAGAACGGCGGGTCCACTATAAAGAAAACATTTTCCTTGTCTTTATATTTTTCATACAACTCTGTCCAATGACATCTCACAAACTCTATACCCTCAATATATTTTTCTATGTCCTCTTTGAAAACATTTGTATATTTAAGATATAAAACTTTTGACATAAGTGTTTCAATGTCATGAACTCTTATAGCACCACTATATAATAGTCTAGCAGATATACTATCCCAGTCTATATATTCTGCTTTTTTCAAAACTTCTCTCACAATATTTTTGTTATCTAATGGTATACGTTCCATCTTACCTATAGGTATCTTTTCGTTTAACTCTTTCAATATATTGTTTGTGTCTGGAATATGTTTGAGACGGTCCATATAGTTGTCGAAGTCATTGCATATAATCTTTGAGTCTGGGAATATTGTATGGCACAAATGGGATATATAGAAACTTCCACCGAACAAATCTACAAATGTTAGACCATTCGGTAGTTTCTTAAGTTCTCTCAATATAATATCTTTACATCTACTCTTATTTCCAAAGAACGGTAACGGTGGTTTTGTAAAATTCATTTATATATAATAATAAAAATGTCTTTACCTGAAAAGTGACAGAAAAGTGACAAAACATGAAAACATATATAATTTGTGAAAAGTGACATAAAAAGTGACATTTAAAAAGTGATATAAAAAGTGACACCATTCATATGATGTAAATAACAACGGTTTTGGTTTTGTCACCGGCTGGTCGGCTGGGGTTCGGTCCTCCTCTTGGGTCTTGGGCAAAATTTCTTAGGGGCTAGAGGGCGCAACGCGCCTGGAAGCCCCACTCACCTGACCTTATGTAGTATTTTTTATTTTGTAAACCATTTCAGAAATTTTTTTTGTAAAGAAATTGATCGCCTGTTTATAAATTATGGAGGAATATGGTATTCAATGGGATTTCACACGGTATAATCGATCTTCTGATAAAAAGAAGGTTAAGTATCGTGTTGCTACAGCATATGACATTAAAATATTTAAACAATGTCCAGTTTTGTCCCTATTGAATCTCAAAAATGATCAATCATACTATAAAAATATGAGATCGATTGTAGAATCTATATCAGGTAAGAATTTCCCTGATCCTCAAAACCAAAAGTCAGCATTTTTATCAAAAATTAAGGCAAATAAAAAAATATTGACGCCTGAAACGCCAGAGGAAGTGATGGATCACATAAGCCTGCTTCCCAATACATTCGATATTTATCAATACATGTATAATTTTCAAGAAAGTTTACAAAAACCCCAACTTTTTTTTGAGACAACGAAATTAGTAATCAATAGCAAAAAAATTGTGCACAACATAGAATTATACGAACAATTATTTGTACACCTCTCGCCATTTTTACTTCAATTCAAATCCAACCCTGATTATCATATCTTTGAACAGCAATGCATTATCATGAGCCTTTTTGAAGCAATTGTGCTTAGTTATCCCATAGAATTAAAGCAATACGCCGCATTTGTAGAGAGAGTAATCAATTGCTTTATAAATTTAATTATTCATTCCCGCGAAAGTATACAAATGTGTGCATGGAGATACCTCACATTTATCGTAAAAGTAGCTGTATTCCGTGTTAGTGAGCCAGTTGCTGTTAGTTTAGTGGAAAATATCGTTACAAAGATTATTCACATACCGCAGATTCATCAGATGCTTTACTACTTACTAGTTACGATGAAAGATGTCATTTTTCTCCCTGTCATTTACTTTTCTTCTCAAATTTTGAAAAGAGTTGAATTTGATCAGCGAGATTTGCAAAATATCATGAATGTTTGCAGGAAGAACCCAAGGATCAGACGTCCTTTTCCTATCATGCGATATATGCTGCAACATTCCATTTATCCGTCTGAAAAAACTTCAATTTGTTTTTTGATCTTGAGTGAAAACAAAAGATACTTCAAGACATGCAAGTTTTTGGTCAGATGGTCGAGAGTATATATAAAAAGAACCTTCCAATGGCTTGTAATCGCTAGAAAAGCTCTACAACCTCAATATACCTAATATATCTGAATCTATTGAGGTTGCTGCATCTTCTCTTTTGTATTTTTACCCAAATTTTCCGGATGTGGCCGGATATTTCCAGATTTCCACAATTGAGCCTGAGTTCCAAGAAGAATTCAAATATCTATGCTATAACATGGATAATTTGAAATTTCAATTATTATATCCGGTTGGTTGCTTCAAACCACGTGAAGAAGTTGACAACAAGCCGCAACAGACTCCCGAGGGTTCCGATGATGAAAATAATGACAACTATGATCAGAATCATAATTCTCAGTATAAAGTTGATGAAAACTTGGATTCAGACAAATTAAATGAAGAAAATGAACTTATAGAGAACTATGTTCAATTTGAATTCCCTCCTGTTGAGTATTCCTCTGTAAATTCGACCAAATCTTTTACGAAGAAGAGTAACATCAGAAAGCGCCCTGCCACTTATGTGCCATTTTTGATATTGGTCATTGCAATGTTCTCCTATTTCGTTTGGTTTGCTTATTTTCAATATGCAAAGTATTAATAGATTTTATGTTATGTTTTAGTAAATGTCGTAGCGATTTATATTTGTTTTTAATTTCACAAGTCTCTGTTGATCAGATTTATCTTCTGGAAATTTATCGATTTCTATTTCGTATTTTTTTAAAAAAATGTTTAGAGCAAATAAATGAGGACATTAGATGCTGATTATAATTTACGATGAAACTGAACTACTATCCAACTTTTCATATTTTATTATCAATACGTGATTTATTCAATTTGAATTTAAATTTGTAAAAGTGACGGAAATAATAAAAAATAGAATCTGACAATTTGTCAAATCTTTTTATATGATTACTCGGTAATATAGCAACTATTGTTCAACTTTTCAGATCATCGCATAAAATTTTTGAGTGCTTGTATCAGAAAATTATTTCCGGCAATTTTTTACATTGCACCCAATTTTTAGCCATTTTGGCTAAGAATTGGAGGGTGTGAGTACTATAGCATGTAATAGTATCTCACATCCTCCAATTCTTCCTATGGCGCCGAAAAATTTTTGGTGAAATGCGACGACATTTCACCAAAAAATTTTCGGCGCCATATAGAGAACTATAGTCTGCGAGGTACTGATTCTATCTATGTACCTCGCAGACCATAGTTCTCAGCCAAAATGTCAAAAATTTCGGAAATTCGAAATAATTTTTTTTGAGAAAAAATTAACCGTTTAACATAATATTTATAATATTGCTTATTCAATTAGACGGATTAAAAATTATATGTTTTCTTTTTATTTTTTCAATTAAATTATTAGCTGACTCGAATTTGTATAAGTTTTTTAAAATAGATATCAAAAATTAAATATAAAAAAGAAAACAATTAAGAATATTAAAGTAAATTCTTTATTAAGAAACAATAAAATGAAAATATAAAACTTTGTATGATTTGAGTGGATATTGAGAGTAATTTGTGAGTGTGCTTCAGCTGCATATGTAAGATTGTTCGGATTTAATTAAAAATTGTAAATTTTTTGTCTTTATATCAAACTATTCGACAAAACTTTGTATGATTTGAGTGGATATTGAGAGTAATTTGTGAGCGTGGCTTCGGCTGCATCCGCTAATTCCTTCTTCATTCTTAACATTCTTTGTTTTATTTAGAACTATATTATCTTATTTCTAAAAATAATACTGAATTTTTTAAAAAAATCCAAATGTAATAAATGTAAGTGTTTATTCCTTAACTTCCTTTTTGTGATTTTTTGAATTTTCTTGTTTTTGAAATTATTTGTTAATCTCTAAGATTTTTTTCGAAGCCTGGTTCAGCGCAGAGATCTTTTGTCCATTTGGGGCCTCTTTCCCAGGCCTCAAATGGAGTCAATTTCTCCCCAAAGAGTTTGAATAATGCGGAGTGTTTCCATACCCTATTATACTGGGAAACAACATTGGGGATGAACTCAAAGACGTTCACTCCAGGGTTTGTCTTGAAAAGAGTCTCCCAACTCCTTTCAATTTTTCCATTTTCCTCTGGAGAGTACGGATGAGTTTTGAAATGTTTTATATTGAATTCTTGGCAAACCGCTTCAAAATCTTTTCCAATGAATTCTGTTCCATTATCTGTGAGAATTCCATGTGGAACTAATTTGACTAAATCAATTGCGTGACGAAATACTCTGGCAGTATTTTTCATTTCTTTTGTATCGAAAACATCCCAGCAAATAATGTATCTGCTTCTGTCATCAAGAAATGAAATTAAATATTGAAGGTTACCGTTATCGTCCTTCAGAAATTTCAAATCAGTATGCCACAATTGATTAACATATTGAGCAACGTATTCATGTGGATGTTCGTCGATTTTCTGATGCCTGTGAAATGTAAACAAATGTTGTTGATTGAAAATTTTGAAAGCATCGTTGAATGTAAATCTTTCGACTTTTTCGAAATATGATTCTTTGATCCTTTTGTATCCAATGTCATATTGTGCTTTAATTTCCAAAATTTTGTATACATCTTCCTCAAAAATTTTTTTCTTTGGTCTTCCTCTTTCTTTTATTGGATAGCCGAGTAGTACGAAAATTTTTTTCAAACGTTCTTTTCCTATTGAAAGTGTTTTTGCCGTATCTTCGAGAGTTACATTTGGATTATTAATGTATTCTTGATATTTTACTTCAATTACGTTGAGAACCTGATCGGCGGGAACGGTTGGGAGTTGAAAAGTTTTAAGATCTTCTGGGTTTTCGAGACGAACCAAGATGTCTTCCATTTTTTAATTTGTAAATTTTTCAATTTTTCAAAAGATAATTTAAAAATACTAGTTATTTGATAAAATTTGTTTATTTTAAATAAAACAATTTTTTTGAAAAAATTATATTAATGATTTGAAGGCAAAAGCCAAAAACTTAATAGATAAAACACTCTTTCTATATAGATCAACTTCTATTATTAAATTTATAAAAATGGAGAGATTTTGCAAATTATTTTCTAATATATTATATTTATAATCATTTTATTTATTCCATTAATAATTGTGAACCCGGAACATCTTCCCTTCAAAGTGCCAAGCATCAACACACATTCTCACTCACAAATTTTTAAAACTCATTGCCAAAAATCTAAAAAACTCACAATTTTTTTTAAATTGATAACCCTCAAACCGTTTCCAATCAATAATTTGAGAGTCTATATGATAATGTAAAAGTTAAAACATTCAAGTATTTAAGTATTTCTTTAAAATATTAAGTTTTTTATTTTTCCAATAAAATTCTAATATCAAATATTTTTATTTAACGATTAATTTTATTTATATTTTTATAGTTTTTTTTTAAGAAAAAATATTGTTAAGGTTTTATGGATTTTCAATTAATATACAAGATAATTCATGAATGTATATATTTCCAAGTTTTTAAGGATGCAACACTTTACATTTGTAAACTGTCAAAAGTGAAGTCACGCTATTTTTCATGCATTACATAAAAATGAATTTTCCAAACGTATTATTTTATCTCATTTTTTTGATTTTGAAAAAAAATTTGGAGAGAAGAACTCTTCGTTTTTGAATTTTGTCACGATGGTTTTAAAGTATATTAGACACATGTATTGGTATTACTATTTTTGTATATTTTGAGAGAAAATCCCTAAAAAGTGAGAAAATCTAAGACGGTTTGAGAAAATATATAAACTATTGAAAATTTGAATTAAACTTCTAATTTGGAAAAAAGAAATTTGGAAAGAAGAAAATTCAAAAATCGAGATTTAGACTCAGCATCAAATGGAGAACAAAATGTTTCTTCATATGAAGGAAAAAAATTTTCTTGTGAACAAATAGAGTTTTTAAAATTTTATTGTATGTAATGAAATAAACAAATATTAAAATTATTTTTTGATAACAAGAAAATTCCCAATAGAAAATATTTGAGAGAAAGAAAAAAAAGAAAATTGAAAAATATTACTCTCCTTTATATTTCATGAGATTTTAAATTTATTCTCATAAAATTGACAATTTTATACGTTTATATGAAAATAAGTGATTTTGGTTGAAATAGAAATTATTATTTGCTTACAGCTATCAAATAGATTTTTGCTATTTTGATTAAAATTTGTTAATCAAATTAATAAATTTTTTCTAAATATCTTAAATATCTGGATCACTCACATATACAATGAATTGAACGATAAAAATAATACAAACTCAACTAAGTTTCCTGTCTTTCAACTAAAAAAAATTATGCAAATTAAATTAAATTGTTTATTCAAATATAAAACAAAGATGAAGTAATTACAGTTATCATAAACTTTATGAATAACTCTGTAATTGGTTCAGATTTTCGTAAAAATATTTTTATTAATATCGATAAGAATACGTTTACCTACTATCACAACATATCGATAAACAAGAGTAGAGTGATTTTTATCATCGAAACTTTTTAAAAGCTGTAAGCTGGAAGGAAAAATCTTGTTTTTTCTGAGTTAGTTGTAGAACTATTGATGCACGAGTTATCATTGTGATGTAGAAGGATGTCAATGTACTGACTGAAGGATATGAAGTGAATTGAATTTCATTGCATTTCAATTTGATCAAAATTTGTTGAAATGATATAAATGTGTCAACATCTGTATCACTCTCTTTCACGCCTTCCCTATTCTTTCGAGAACGAAGCTAGCTCAGCTTTCGCTGAGCGAATTGACACTTTTGATGCCCTAAACGTACATGCTCTCAAATTTATCGAAAAAAAATTATACCACCTAAACTAGTATATTCTTATTTTAAATATGATATTATCCTTAGAATCCACACTAGAATATATTTAAATCAACTTTTAAAAAAGTTCGAATCCTGCGCGTCTCACTTTTTAAATTTTCGAAAAGGAAAATTATATTCTCCTAAAATGAAAACAGTTTTCCGAATTGACATCCTTATCATATCTGATCTTGACATTATGCCAGCTGTTCGAAAGAAATGATAAGAAAATTGCGAGCGCTAAATGTAATGTCGAAAACGTTATTAGATAAATGGTAGGGTATGAATAAAAATTTGGCCTACAAGAGCGTAGCTCCTGCTGGTAAAAAGGGTGGTCGTTTTCAATTCTAAGTAATGGGAAATCACCACCTTCATTTCTCATTACCGAAGAAAATTTTTTGAATTTTTTTTTCAACGCTTTTGAATTCCGATGAGCACATCTTGAAAGGTTAGCGTATTATTGGTATTCAATGAAAATCATATTCAAGGAGAGCATATTCTGAATATGAGATCTAAATTCCAAGTAATCCTGGGTAAAATTGAAATTTTCTCGAAAAGTTGTATTATTCAGAAGAACTCTCAGAGGAGTATACACAGATACTGTTAGTGCTTATAATTCTTGATGAAAATTTGATAAATAGAGCTGATATTACAGAATGAATGATAATTTTATTGAATATAATTATTTACAATAATTCTGCAGTATTGAAGAATAAGATTATAATTATATTATATTTTAGTTTTAAGGGTGCACCCGCATGTACGTTTATTTGAGAGGAGGAGGATTACCCTCTCAATTTTGAAAGCTTCGTTAACTTAATATCTCGATGAATATTGGATTAAAATTGAATTTGCCCATACCAATATATCTGATACAATATCCTTAAGTATAGATCCGTATTTTTCCCAAGTGAGCGGGGTATCTCCAATCCCAGCCCTATCGTCCTCCCAGTGTCAGTTTTCAATATAAAATCCAAATTTTTTTTGAAAATAAAAATTTCGAGAAATTTTTCTGATTTTTTTTCTTTGATTTCAATAATTCAAAATAAATTTGGGAGTAAAAAGACACTATTTAATGAAATTCATATGAGTGAATGTGGATAAATACTCTCAAAACATACAATTTATCTATTTTTTCTTTATATTATCAACTAATTAGTGATAATTTTTTTTGAATCAGATTTTTTTTCATTAAAAACATAATATATAACACAACAATGATGCACACATACGTATCTACACATCAAAATATAAAGCTTGTTTTGGTCTGGGCATCCCAACCCAAAATTCTTTAAAAATTGAATAAAATTGAATACTTGGGGCTGGGATGCCCATCCCAAAACCGAATTGAATTTTTTGAATTAAAGAATATATTTATGTATTTATAATATACATGTGATGTCTATAAAAAATACTAAATTCTAAAAAAAATTCAATTTATTCAAAACGTATACTAAGTGATCACTTCATTAGTAGGATCAGCAATCCTACTAAATGGTGAGAACGCCACTAACTAAAAAAGGAGTCCTTGGAGCTCTTGATCTCTTGTCAGTAGAGTTCATAATGAGGCATGGCATCTACTGATTAGAGATCAGAGCAATCCTACCTTACCTTCAGGAGCTACAAAGCTCCTAATCGTTACGAGAGGGAGTCTTGGAGCTCCTGAAGCTCATCAGCAGAGGCTATTTACCATTTGGGCCTCTTTCTGATGAAAGATGCGAAACACGTCTACGAAACCAGGAGCTTCAAAGCTTCTAATCCTTACTAAAGGGAGCTTTGGAGCTCCTGAGTCTCCATCAACAGAGTCCCAGATGGTAAATGTCCTTTGCTGATGAAAGATGCGAAACACATCTACGAACCAGGAGCTCCAAAGCTCCTAATCCTTACGAAAGGGAGCTTTGGAGCTCCTGAAACTCCTTTTACTATAAAATATGACAGTTTTCTTCTGAGGTTCTCATCAAATCTAAGACTTCAGAAGAAAGCTGTCCTATCAATGTATACTTACACTCTCATGGACTACAAGTGTACAATTTTAAAGCAGAGATTATCCGAGGCCTCTCATCAAATGAGGGACCTCGGATAATCTCTACCTTAAGTAGTCAAATAACTTTTCTCACTATTTAGGAACAAAAGAACAAGAGTTGGAGTACTTTAAGGCAAGATTCTTCCGAAATCTCTCATCGAATGAGAGACTTCGGAAGGACCTTGCCAAATCCTTGAACGCCAATATCCTTGGAACTGAGCTAGAACCAGGGAGAAGTAGCATACTATAGAGCACGATGGTAATCTCGGAAATACTTATATCGCCCCAAGCACAATATTTAAGAAGTCTAACTCATATATACAAGAAGTCAGGCTGAATAGATATTGTGCATATGGTTTGCAGAACTCTCATGATATTTAAAATTCACGTTATCCCAAAAAAGGTGACACTTTGGGTGTATCGTCCATCCCAGGGATGCAAAAATCACATCACCTTGGATCTATACCTTAAGTTTTACTAAAAAGAATTTTTTAAAATCCCTGCAGGTTCGGGGATTTTTAAATTTTTTGATTTTTTTCGAAAATTTTTCGGGAAAAAAAAATATTTTCAGAAGAGCCTTAACGGCTAAGTTTTATGTTTAATGTTGAGTATCAAAAAGAATGGGCATCTGATATAGCCATCATATATCCCAGAAGCAAATAAAAATTCTGACTTTTTAAGCATAAAAAATGAAATTTTATTTTTTGCAAAAAACAGGCCACCCGAATGTACGTTTATTTGAGAGGAGGAGGATTAAATTTTTGAAAGCACTAAAATTTGTAAATATGCTAGTTATATAATAATATGCATTATTTAAAAAATAAAAATTAAAGCACGTTAAAATCTTTTTTGATGAATTTTTACAAAAGCTACTCAGGATAATGCAAGATATGAGTAGTTAAACATAAATTTCAAATCAGATTTTACTTATAATAAATATTTTAAATTTCCGAAAATTAAGTTCAGATCGACTCTATACGTAGTAAATACTAAATAAGGTGCCAAAAACCTATTAAACAGTATCAAAACTATCAAGATTGTAATGTTTTTGAAGAAAAATTTATAGAATTATGGACTTCAAACAGATATTATGTAAATAAAAATAATATAATGAATTTATTTATTCGTATAATAGCAGTAATAAGTCGATTATTCACTTCTACTTCTGAGATTTGAATTTAATTTCGACAGAAAAAGAGATTCAAGAGGAAAATACTAGGGGATACAAACAGCCACCATGACAGGATTATTATGGAGCCAAGTTGTATTTTTTGATATTTTTAGAGTTTTCCTACCTATTTAGGTACCAAGTGATTGCTTAAAAATTAAGGTTCTAAATTCTGAAGTTTACATGATCCTCCCGGGCGCACCCTTAATTAAATCATTAATTGAATTTTGAAGTCGAATTTTTGTGAATGACAATATATATTGCATAATTTCAATTTAATTCGTTTTTTAAATTTTGGAATGAAAATCATTTCTTCTTGTCATTACCAAAAGTTCTAATCAATTTTTTCCAGTCAAAACGACAAATAAAATTCGATTAAGAAGATAAAATTAGTGATATCTTAAATTGAATATTCAATTCATCAATGATATGCAATTTCAAGTATAGAAAAACATTTAGAATTTAAGTTGGTGTTCGCTTGAATTTACAATGCATTTCCACCTGTGGTATTTGATCACATTTGGAAATGCAGTTTCTCCAGCGAACCAATTTAATAGTTCTCTAAGATATTTCGAGAAATGCATTAAAATGGAACGAGATTTAGCGAAATGTCAGCTTCAAACATACGCATTATTCAGACAATTTCCATATTCAGGCAGGAAAACAAACGAAGATCGTCATAATGTTCATTCTCTTGTTAAAAAAATGATTTGGAAAGAGCAAATCGATCAGATTGGACAAAAATCTAAAGATAGTTGGATTTCAGACGAATACACTGAATCCAATGAAAGTAAAATACAATTATCTAATGATAATCCTTCGGAATCAAACCACATTAATACAAAATATAATTATGATGACTATCCAGATATAATATGCGAGCTTCGGAATACACTGGCCTATAAAGGGAAGTGCATATGTACTTCTGGTCATCCATATGGCGATCCTTACACAACTGGTTGTTGGGGTTGTTCTAATCCTTGCGCAAGTGGCGCAACTTGCATCTCCGAAGACTTATGCAGATGCCCAAATTTCTATGTAGGTGATGGGATTCGTAATTGTACGCTCCATATCCCCGTAGTTCGAATGGCTAGAGGAAGAATTCCAGAAAGTACAGCCGAGGTTATAATTGATGAAGTTCCATGGCGTATTCCAAGTAACTTGTACTGCAAGATAGGATATGACGTTACTCCTGGTGTTCTTATCACAAAAAATAAAATTGAATGCAAATCTGTTGCGCCAATCAATTCCAGATATCTAGTATCCGTAAGCTGGGACAGAGTTGCATGGTCATCAGGAGAAATATACTTAGAATATGAAAATATCCCATGGGTTTTCACATTAACTCAGTTTTGCCTCTTCCTTGTTTTATGTTTTCTTTCAACATGTGTGTTGTTTAGATATTATAAGAAATTTCGGAAAGTTTATGAAACAGAAGCCGATTTATTTGATTTGGCTATGGAAATATAGTTTATATAGATTTTTTTTGTTTGTATGTAAATATTATGTTTGTGCTTTTCTATTTTGAAAATTTCATGAAATCGAAAATTCATTTAAGGGTGCACTTACTACTTTTTGACATCCTCTCAATTTTTTTGACACGCAAGCTTTCTTTCCCAATATTCTAAGGTCAAAAATTAATATTTTTGGTCAGGAGAAAGTAAATATAAATTAATATATAGTACCTAATATGGCTGCTATACTTTTTCTGCTATTAAAATAAAGATATATTGATTTTTTTAATAGCTAGTCAGAAAGTGATAAGTGCACCATTAACAAACATTAAAGTTGTACTTACCACTTTCTGACACTCTCTCAAAAAGAGATATACAGGTTAGAAGAGGCATAGAAAACAAAACCTTTAACAGGAAATTTGAGTTGATAAATGATTTCAAAACAAAACCGCATTGAAGAAAGAATTAGAACATGCATCAAATGTTCTATTAAATGTAGCAGAATTGGATTGAATCCCGGATGAGAAAAATATTAGTTTGAGCGAGCTTATAATTAAAACACCTTGATCTAGGAGTTAGGTGATAAAATCTAAGGTAGGCTAAAAATTTACTCCTAGATCTACTGTTCATAACACTCTCAATTTTGTGTGGTTACGGACGGGATCACATGTAAATTTTGCCAATTTCTAAAAAATAAACACTTTACAACACGTAAAGTTCTTAAATTTGAGATTGTTATTGTCAAAATTTCGTATTAAGAATGATTTAACATAACTCATTTTTATATTTTTATTAACTCACCTTTGAAATCAAAGATAAGAATTTGCAAAAAATAACAATTGCTTGAATCCTTTCCTGTTTGAGTTAATTTGAAAGATACAAAATATTCGTTTGTTTGAAGTGGAAATTCTTTGATTTCTCTTTGTTTAAATTCATAATATTTATCATTATCTAATACAACAGTTGTTCCATCTTCTTTGATTCCTTCTAACTTCCATCTTCTCAATAAATAATTATTATCAGTTACTCTAGATTGTAACATATAATTTGTTGGTTTTAATTTATATCCTTTTAGATCAGCTTTTATCCAAGAATTAGGCAAATCATTAGTATAGAAATCAACATCATTTCTATAAGAATTTATATCTGATAAACTTCCATTTAGAACAGATGAAGCTGTAAATTCCATTTTAATTTCTTTATAATCTACTAACATAGATTCATAAGCACAAATAGAGTTATTTGATATTGTAAATTGATTTTTAATTAAAGGTTTTTCGAATAATGAAATAGGCCCATTTGAGATTTCAACATTTTCTCTGAGAATTGAATGATAATTCTTTAATGTTTCGTTATATATAGGGAGAAGAACTCTTTCGAATGAATGTTCAATACAAAAGTTATAAATTGTGTCATAAATTTCTCTTGTACAAAATGCCAATTTGATGTATCTAAATAAATCAAAGAATGTATCATTTATATTGCAGATTGATAAAAGTAACAAAGATAGATGATCTTCGTTGTCGATCTTTAATTCTTCAGAGGAAATGATTTTTTCACAAAATTCATACCCATTTTTTGCGAAATGTTCAATGATATCATTGTCATCTAAACAATATAAATGTGATGAAATGAATCCAATGCATTCGTTTTCTGTAATAATATCATTTTCGAAAACTGAAATTTCATACTTTTGAAAAACGTTTTCTTTTGTAATAGATTTGTCGAGTTTAACATGTTCGGAATATAATTGTATGAATAATTGATTTCCAAAATGTTTTCCAATTTCAAATATATCATGATAATGTGACTCATCTTCTTCAAAGTCAAGTTTTCCTGTTTCAAGAAACTCTGAAAGTATGTCGATTGAATCCTTGCATTTAAGATCTAGATTTATTTCAAATGATGATATACATTTATTAATTAAACATTTTTCTTGTATTAAATCTGAAAAACAAACTGCCGAAGACTTCTTTGTTTTGATTATTCGACCATTAATATTGATATTAAATCGTCCACACTCTGTAAGAATGCCAACACGCTTTAATTCTTTGCATGATTTCGTTATTTGACCCATGAAAAAAAAAGTGCGACTCTGTTTGTCAGAACGTAAACATTTGTAAACTTTTCTGACACCAAAAAATTTTTTGGACTTTCAAGGTTTTTTGACATTTTGGTGTTTTGTGTCACCAAGTACTCAATTTTTTTATCGACATATACTAGAGAATTACACTTTTCCAAAATTTTTGAAACGTCTCGCCCCCTGACAAAAAGTCTGAAAAATGTAACACATCTTGCTGATAAGCAAACTACAGATTTTTATAATACATAACTCAAGTAAGCCATTTTTACAAAATTCTTGTTATCAGAATATTGTAAAAATCCGTAGTTTGGTTTTAGCTAAATTTAGTATAAGAGTTCAAAATGTCAAGCATCAACAAAGAGTAAAAATGTATTAATTCTTTAAAAAAGTTGATTTTTTTTTAAATTTAAAACAAAAACAAAGAAATAATAATAAGAAATTATTCAAAATACTTTCCGAAGAATTCAACGCGTCTTAGACAGAATCTGTAGTCATCATTTGAAGATTTTCCAGTTAATGTGATTCTTATCTTTGTTGCAATGATATTAGAATCATCAACACTGAAAACCTTCTTCGATCGTTTGAAGCAAAGTCCTTTTTCATCTTTTACTTGAGAAATAATAACATATTTTCCAAGTTCTGGATTATACGCTTCAACTTTCCAACTTTTACAGTATGAAGGACCATCATGGCTTACAAACATATATTTTGAAAGCATAAACGATCCATTCTTGAATTCAAATTCAATCCAACTGTTTTCTTCTTTATTCGAGACCCAGTGGCCTGGCAATGCTTCAGGAGCAATAACTACTGATGGTGCAGCACTTGTATATGAACTTGAAGTGACTTCTACTGGTGGATTATCGTATTTCATTCTAAAATACTCAAATAAGCCATGTGGAGTATCAAATAGCATTCCATTTTGATATTTAGAACTATTTAACATTGCGATCTTTCCAAGAATGAGTTCTGAAGTTTTATAGCGATTATAATCAAATGGACAGTTTTTCTCATCAATACTATAAGCATATAGTAAATTTTCAACCATCTTTTGAGAGATTTTATGTTTTGATGTGAAATCGGCGTATTTAAAAAGCCCTTCCGGTTTAAGCATGTAAATTCTGATAAAATCCATAAAATGATATGCTTTACGACCGTATTTCTCGATTATTTTGAATATATCATCTAAAAGAGAGTCTTCTGTCATGATTTTGAGGTAAGGATGCGAGTAAATTTGTTCGATAAATTCAAGATCAAGTTCATTGCATGCAGCAAATCCATTTTTGATATAATTAGCAGCTACAAATCCAATGTCTTTGCTAATATCCATACCAATAGCAGCTTTTATTGGAATTCTTCTGGCAATCAAAATTATTTTTTCGTCATCATCAGGAATTTCTTTATTGTACTCATTTCTTAGAATGTCAAGTATTAGGTTGCATTGAATGTAGTTTAACATTTTAAGATCGTCTTTAATGAGACTTAAATTTAATTGAAGAATTTCCATTTCACTAGAATTTTCTATTATAGCTACTATATCTCTAAACAGATCGTTCTTTATTTCATACGGAATTTCAAGTACTGTTTGATTTTGATTGATATATTCATCGTGTGCTTTCTTTGAAACAATAAATGCAAGGGGAATGCCTATAACATACGATTTATTTAAAAATTTGAATGTTATTTTGGGATAATTCGGCAGATGAGAATATAATCGAATCAATGCTCTCTCATCCATCGAAAATGAGAAAAACCTGTTTGACAATTATTAGTTTTTCAGAAATAATATTTCAATGAACTATATATTTCATTATTAATCATAAGATCATAAAATCACAAATTGAATTTCCTAATTTAACAATTGAATCTACAAGATTTCATGCGTATTAACTCACTCAATAAAGACAGTATTGCCTTTTCAATTAAATTAGTGAATATTATCAAATATTTAACAAATATACTGAATAGATTTGTAACATAGATGACTAATTCATTAAAGTATTAGTGAATGTGTTCCTCTAGTTTATTATGACTGATAATAATATTTCAAAATTCCGAAATTTCATACACGTTTCGATGAACTTTTACTGAAATATATGATAGACTATAAGTTAAATAGACAGTATGTGTTTATAGTTTAAAGATTGGCATATTATAAGAAATTTTCTTGTGGATATTTGAATGATGATTGAATAAAAAGTGACAACCTTTTTTTGTCTACAACTCCTTTTCCCATTTTAATACAAGAGCTCGAAGGATATTTCGATGAACTACGAAATCCTTCGACAAGTAGGGGTAGGGTGATGAATATCAGATCAAAACTCGGATATTTGATAAATCAATGTTGTTTATGCGATCCAAAAAAGACTTTTTTAGCAATTGAAAATAAAATACAAGAAGATGACCCATCTCCTGACAAATCACTTATTTATTTAGCAGCAATTACATATGCATTTAATTATTTGCCACTTGATGAAAGAAATTCGTTTTTATTACCTATTTCAGATGATTGCATTCATCACATTACACTCGTGGATGACGAATTTTACACAAATCTTTCGAAATTTTTATTAGCAGGCGGAATGCAAAAAATTCCATGTATTTTTGAAGTTTTAAACCAATTATTTCAAAATATGTCAATATCTAATTGGATGCAAGTCGGTCCGCTCGCAATTCTCATAAATATGAACCCAATAAATTATTCTGATGTTTTTTGGTACCACGCAACGCAATTTGATGTTGATTCGATCATCGAAATGCTATGTCAAATATTACCACTCGCAAATCTCGCTTTACCTGAAAAATACCCCGAAACTTTAGAAAATATCAAAAATCGAATTCAAAAAATGTCAGAACCCGACAACGACTTCAACGTTATTGAAACAGCACTAATAGTTATCAGATGGCTCGTTAACAACAAAATTTTAGCATTAAATACTTTAAATCTTCAATATGACAATTCTTCTTTAAATTTAATGGTTCTCCGAATATGGTCCGATTATGTGGCCTATGGAGATCTTAGTATCATTCCAATTCTTGAAAATACTAACTCAAAACAATCAATGAAAATTTATGCCCGCATGTTTGTAAACGCAGTCAAGAATCCATCGTTTAATATCAACACAATCGAGATACCGCACTGGCTTGTCTATTCAATCAAGTCTGAAGCGAATGGCAAATCTGACAACGACCATCCTTCAATTTTGACGCTAACTGTTGAAGAAATCGAGGCATTTACAGAGGTTGCGAACATGCTTCCGACATGGTTTTACGTCCACGCCCTTCGCGCGAGAATTAAGAATACAGATTACCAGTTACGAATCATTTCATTGATAGAGAAGATCCCCATTAGAATATTCGAAGCCTACTTTGATGATTTTGTTGATTTCGTGATCTGGTGTTTAAGATTCCAAAATTTAATTAATCCTCTTGAAGAATTACTTCTTAATCTGTCATGTTTTTACTACAAGAAGGTCAATATACTAATATCTCGTATCTGCGAGACCTTTGATTACTTTAATGAAACAAATATTTCATCTCGTTTGAATATTCTTTCAGTTCTTGGGAGATTTGGGGACATTACCTTACTACAAACAGTATTTGATACAGTTTGGGAGATAATTCCGACGATGCAACTATCTATCTCATTTGTTTTGTCACTTATCAAGTTTTGCGACTCATTTGCAGGTGACTGTGATGATATATATGACAAAGTCATTGCAATAGCCCTCGCCCCTTTGATTGTTTACCTCAATTCTCAAGATTACGAATTTCTTGAGGATTCCATTCAATTACAGACCTTGATATCGTCTATTCGGACCTTTTATTCCGTCATTTCCTCAGATATCATTGTTTGTCCTTCTTATTCAATCAAAGATTCTTTTCCTTTGACGGCTATTTCGATGCAGCTGCTTTGTGGCATGCATATAAGACTTTCTGTGATGAACTACATCATTTATAACATCCACAGTCTTCATGTTGCAGCTCCAGAACAAATTATTGGTTTCATTTTCAAATGCGCACAGAATTTACTGCCATTACAGATACAGACGTGCTTAAATATCATAAGCCAACACACTAATTGTGGTCTTGGAAGCATTGGATATATTATTATTTCAACATTTTTGTCGAAATTCCCAGCTTTCGCATCGTTGAAGGCAAATTTCATTGGCCCGATATCGGAGTTGCCAAAAGACTCCAATGTAACAAGGATAATAATGAAATTAAACCCTGCAACGAAGCCATTACTGACAATGAAACCTTCTTTGCTGTTTTTGATGCTGGAAAGATGGAGTGGAAAGCCGGATGATATAATAATCGGTGCAATAAGGAATTGTATCATTAATTCAAAGGATTCTGAGGAAATTCGGTTGTATCGATCGTTTTTATACGCTTTGGATGCGAAACAACCACCAGAAAAGAGTAATTCTTGCCACTTCGCTGCGGATTTCACTGCAAATGAAATAATTGCCAAAAATTTCTTCAATGAAATTATGAAATCTAAGTCAGCAAGTGAAGCAATCACAGTATTTGGCCAACACTACCCATTGCCAGTCATTTACGATGATAACGAAGTAGATTTAGTGGCGAGTTTAGTCAAAATGTACAAAAGAGTTCCAGTTTGCCATTCTTCGCTAATACAGCTCGTAAAACTCCTTGGAGATAAAATTTCTTCATCGATTTCTAACTCAAAACCTTTACTTAGGTTCACAAGATCAATGGGAATAAATCGAGTGATAAACGAGCCACGTGACGAGTTCTGTAAGCAACTTGCCGTAAGGTTAGGTCACGTGAAGCTCCAAAATTCTCAAAATCATGACGAAAACGAAGATGAAAAATTTATTGTCGACATGTTGATCGCAAATGGGACAAAAAGCGATGAAATATACAAAAAGTACAATTCTGTCATTCTTGCGACCAAATTCCTTGAACACGGAACTAATTTGGAGCTATTAAAATTATCTTTGAGTACAAACATCGCTTCTGTAAAGGTCAAAGCTCTTAACATGCTCCCTTCGATGGAAATCAGCGAAATTTCAGATGTTTGTTCGTCTTCATTGGCTGAAGATGCAATAAACTCTTTAGATTTAGCGATTCCAACCGCAGCAGGCGCATTCTATTGCATATTGCAAATTTATGACAATGGTTACTCCTTTCTTGCAAAATGCGTAAGCGCAATAATATTAAATATCACTAGAAATTGCACTTTTTCTTCAGCAATGTTGTCACTTTTATTTGTAAAGTGCTCAAATTTAATTGAAAAAATTGAGTCCTCAAAAGCAAAGAAAGCGATGCTGAAGCTGATAGAAAACTACAAATTAGAGGAGCAAAGTCTATTATAATGTATATATATTTATATTTTTGTTTATATTTATTATTTTTTAAAATCATTTAGATTTTTTTTTATTAAACTGTTATTTCTAATAAAATGATCAATATAATGTATTTATATGACAGAGGCTAATACCACTTCTTTATTATAGATAAACATGAAGAAAATTCTAGAAATTTGCTTTCTAATAATGGAACAATAAGCTTTAATTGTAGTCCTGTTCATTCAAGTACATTCTTATACAAAATATTCTTATTATACTCTTTGGTTGACATATAATTTGCACTTGATCAAATGGGTGATAGATGGATTATTTATACAAATTAAATCTAGGAAAATAATGCAAATATGCAAAACAAATCACAATAGACAATATAGTAAATATCAATTGATGAGTTATCTTTTAAGGAGTTATATTTTGGTCATTCATTAGAGGTTCTTTTGAAATTTCAAATGGATTCACACATTTGACGAATAATTGTTTTGCCATGATCAATCCATAACTTTGAAGAATTTAAATTGCCTAACCCTGTATATATTCTGTAACAAGTTTTAATTGATAATAGGCTTGAACAACATACAATATATTCACATACATTCAAAAAATGGTGCGAATTTAATAATAATAAATTTTTAGAGAGCAATTTGATATTGAAAAATTTTCTTATTTTAATCTATTGGCATAAAGAAGATCCTCAACAATCCATGCGCTATTATCTTTCAGAAAATGGTCTTGACAGATGATAATGTACATGCTATAGATAATATTATGGTGTTCAAATAGACATATTTTTTAATATAATGAAATTTAATGTTCTTTCAATCATTTCCTCTTACTATATTCATTATCAAGGAATTCCAATACATCAATAAGATAATCTGTAGTTATATCATCTGTAAACTCAGATAATGCTTCTGTTGCAAATTTCCTGAAATTTTTCACCCCTTCATAATAATCATTAATTGTGAGTTTCCTTGCCGATATTAATTTCTTTGCAGTTACAAAATAATCGTAGAATGTGCTATAACCAGTGTCATTATGAAGGAAATAAAAAATGATCTGGTCTCTCATTTTTGACGAGTATTGAAAGATTGTTGGCAAGTACTCATCATTTAACATAAGTAAACTGAAGCGAATTTTATTTAAGTTGGGCTGCAATTCAAATTTTGTGTTAAACCATTTATCGACAAGTTTAGGATGCATTGCGAACGCATTTATTACTTGGGAAAATAAATGATTTACTTGATTTGTTTTCAGAAGAATTGCTGGCAAATCATCTTTTATTTTAATTATAGAAGATGGAGTTGGGTAAGAAACAATTCCGTATGCATCCATAAGTTTACTAAGATACTGGTTGTGGTCACTATCTTCAATTTTGAATTCTACAGGATCTGGGTTAATTAGTATTTTCTTTTCGCGAAATAATGATTTAATGTCTTCCTTCTTCGGCCAATGTAATATATATTGTGCAGGTATAGTTGTGATCGAATCTAAATTGTCTTTAATGAAATTATTAAAATCTTTAGAATATTCAGCATATTTTAGAAGATTATCAACTATTGAAGTATAATTAGCTATATCTTTCTTTATATAAATACTTTTGAATTCTAATTTCGTTGGGCTTAAAGCTTTTTTATTATTCCTAATTAAATTAATAAGAAAAGGTCCTGCTGCGTTGTATTTCACAAGTTTTTTCAAGAATTCGTCTATATTATTAGGCAAATATGATTTTCCATTGTTATCAATAAAAAAACCTTTATCGTCTTCTTCAATATAATGCTTTTCGTTATCAGAAACCACTAATTCTACTAAATGTGTATGCGAATGATTTCCATTTGCACCATTTATTATTATATATCTATAGCCTTTTGACATTTAAAAAAAATAATGATGGAAAATTTATTTGAGTGGTGTTATAAAAGTTTGCTTTGTAAAGTATGTAAAGTGTCAGTTTAATTTTTTGACACCGTAAAGTATATGTAAAATTTTTTGATAGACCCAAATTGGAAAAGGCTTCTGCTGATAGAGATTCAGGAGATCCACAAATCTCTTTCGCAAGGATTGGGAGTTGTCGAGCTCCTAAAGTCGGCATTTAACAAAATAAATGTCAAAAAATCTGGTTTACAAAAGGATGTTAGATTTTTGTGTCAAATCTCGTTATGAATTCTCTGGACAAACGAGTTCCTAGGAGTTTGAATGACGAGCAGATTAGAGAAATTAAGGATGCTTTTGATATGTTTGACGTTGATGGATCTGGCAAAATTGATCCTCAAGAACTTTGCGTTTCGTTATATACGCTAGGGTTTGATGGAGTTCGCGATGAAGTTAAAAAAATCATTGCAGAACTAGAAAATATTAAAGGCAGATACATAGATTTTCCAGAATTTCTGAAATTAGTTAATGCAACCATGCAAAATCGCGATCCCCAAGATGAAATGGATAAAGCATTTCAACGATTTGATGATGATTGCACAGATAGAATTTCATTTAGAAATCTTAAGCGTGTTTCACTTGAGTTGGGCGAACAATTAACAGATGAAGAGCTTCAAGAAATGATTAGAGTTGCAGATATAGACAAGGATGGAGAAATAGGAAAAGATGATTTCAGACAAATAATGAAAACTTCCGATTTTTAATTAATTACCAATTTTATGCTTATGTTTTAATTAATTGAACCTAATATATTATGTCTGTTACAGAGATGATATACAAATGTCGAAACAGAGAATTACAGTGATAATAATCGAAATTGTAATTCTAAGCAATACTGAAGAAGACTTTCTATTTCTTATATCATGTTTAAGATATTAAATAAAAAAAGTTTGTTTTTTATATATATATATATAGAGTTTAAGTGGGGAACTTTGATATTTTTTTCCACACCATAGTAGTTTCACTTTTTGCATATGAACTCTATATTGATTCTGCCTAGAAACTAGAGAAATTAAAATTTTTCAATTTTTGGCCAATTAAAAGTACCTTTTTGAAAATAAAAAAATATTATTATTAATTATGCGTGATACTTGACATATATTCATAAAATCAAGTGATTTGGAGTGATTAGCAAAAAAATCTTGTTTGTTTTATTTTAAAAAAATATATAATTTTTTTTTTATTGCATTGAGAACCGAATTTGTTGGATTGCTAAATCTACATTATGGTCACAAGCATCGTAATATTGTAGTGCTATATCAAGAGGAACACCAGTCTGCTGAGCGATACTTAGAACAGCTTCGCGATCAGCTTGGGAAAGTCCTTCTAATTCAGGAGCATTTCCAGTAATTGACTTTTCTGATAGATAAGGAAGTTGAGAAATGTGAAGTATTACTCCAGATACTGTTACCAAACCTATAACGGCCATTGCGCGCGCTGGATCATTGTTGGGGATGATGCCAACTCTAGCAAGTAAATTAGAGTACTGACCAATAAGAATTCCACTTTGTGTGAAAATCTTCTTGAAATAATTCACCTTTTTAGTTGTGTTGCTCTGCAAAATCTGGATTTCTATTTGATCAATAGTAGCTAATGGAACGGATAATTCGCTTTCAATGCCTAAATGAGGTGGAAGAATCGTTGTAATAATTTGATTCTTTGCTACGTTGTCAAGAACTGGTTTCACATCAAATGGTTGAGATCTTGGTTGTACAGCGGGTTGTCTCAACGGAGGAATCTTGCTTGGATCAAAGCAGAGCATGTTGGAGGCGAATAAGACGTTATTATCTGTAGCGAAAAGAGCTCTGATAACAAGGTTCCTGTCTGGGTTGATGTTGAGAAGTTCAGCAACGTTTTCATCGAATTTTTCTTTATTTGGTAAAGTTTGGATTTTATTTTTGATGAATTCTTCGTCAGAGAGAGAATCCATTGGATTGGCTTCCTGAGCATTCTTTCCTGTAGATTCGTACTTGATTTCTAATGCAGTTGATATTGTTGGGCTTGGAATTAACTTCTTTCTTGGATATCTCTTTATTGAACCGATTAAAACTGGAGCTGCTGGTGCGGCTGTAGATTCTGTTGTTGCTGGTGTGGTTCCTGGCTGTGTGGCCGGTGCTTCGGCTGCTGGAGCTGGAGTTGCAGGAGCAGCTGGAGCTGGAGCTGGTGATTTCTTTCCAAGTGGTGTAATAAGAATCTTTGAATCTGGTTTGTAGCTAATTGACTCAACTGTATTCTCTGGATTGATAATTTTTCCTCCATAAATTAATTTGCAGCTTTCAAAACCGAATTGCTCACAGATAATTGGAATTATCTTTTCGAACTTAGTATCTGGGTCTGCTTCTATGTTCTTAATGACTTTATTAATACTTGAAAATGTAAGAATCATTCCAAAATTTTGATGTCACTTTTCTGTCGAAATAATTATTCGAACATCTAATGAAATCTCCTGAAATTTTCAAGGTAGATACCATATAACTAATCATTAAGAATCAACGAACTAATTTGGCGATTTATTTGATTTTTTAAAGTGAATTCAATACAAGTAAACAATTATCCAATATAATCTATATGCCTATGATATACAATAGAAATCACAGATTTTGGCTGTATATTTACAATGATTTGCTTAAATCATACAGCAAATTGATTCAAATCTATATGAACTTTAATATTATTCCTTGAACAAAACGCTCATGTAAACAAAAATTAAGTTAAGAAGGAATTCAATCAATAATTTAATAATAAAAATACTAATGAATTAATTTGATTACTTGCGCTTAAGAACTTTTCTAAGCCCTGAGTATTTCTCTGGAATAATAGTGCCCTTTGGCCAGTACACCCAGAATGGACCATGTAGATTTGGTCTTTCCTCTTCAGGAGCATCATTTGGATCAGCATAGAAGTTTGGACGATATACAGTGACTTTAGGATGGATATTGTTAGTGCTTGAGGATAAGAATCGTGAAGTTTTTTGCTTCTTGGGCTTTGGATTATTAATTGTATTATTCTTCTGTTCTGGTGGCTGGATTTTTTCTGGAGCCTCTAAGCTTGATTTGATGGGAGCGTTAAATGTCTTTCTTGGATGTTTTGCAGATTTATCTTTGATGGAATGTGTTTCAGCATTTTGATCTTCATTAACACGAGGAGTTTCATTAGGTTTAACATCTTTTGCCTTGGGCTTTTCTTGAGTGTTTTGCGGTTTAATCGATTTTTCGTTCTTAATGTCTGAAATTTCTTGTTTTGGTAATGATGGAGCTTGGTCATTTTGATCTTTTGGTTTCTCTTCTTGTTTATTTTGCTCTTTTGGCTTCTCTTCTTTATTTGCTGATTCGTTAATCTTTTTCTGAACGAGAAGTTCATATTCATCTAATTCCTTTTCGATTTTTGGAGCAGGTTTATCCTTTTTAGGAGAATTACCTTTAATTTTTAATTCAACTAATTGTTCATATGGATCAACTTCCTTTACTGGAGCGGGGGAATGTGAAGATAAAACAAAGACAGGAATATCTTTCCACCTATATTTGTCTGTGTACTCTGATATTGGAGGTTCCTCCTTTTCAATCTCAGTCATTTTCTGGAGCTTAACGTACAGATTTTATTTATCAATACTTTTAATGCATTATATTAACGAACAGGCATAGATATATTTTTTATGTTTTTGGCACGAAAAAACTAATCATTGAAATTCGTTAATCCTGATTATTTGTAAATACGCATAATCAAGATATAATATTTACCTATTTCATCAGAATTTGATAATTGAATATAAATAACATTTTATTCATTATATTATTTTGTTTCATATATTTTGAGAAGCTTTGCAACAAGATTGTTCTTAAGATTTTGTGCAACTTCTGAAGGTAAAAGATTTTCGCTTGCATTTCTTACTGCAGCATTAGCTCCTGACTTTAGAAGTACGCCACAAATTTCTGTATTATCTTTTTGAGCAGCGATATGAAGTGGGATGTTACCGTTTTTATCAGAAATGTTAACAGTGGCACCTTTAGAAATCATGTACTTTAGAACATTTGGTGTTCCATTAAAGCAGCAATCGAATATTGGTGATTGACCTTTTCCATTAAGAAGATTGATATCAGCTTTCATTTTGAGCAATAATTTAATGAATAACTTCTTTGTTGTATCATCAACATCAAGAGAAACAACTACTTGTAATGGTGATTCATCTTTTCCTGAAATATGGTTTGGATTTGCATTTCTCAATAACAAAATTTTTGCAATTTCATATAAATGATTTTTGATTGCGAAAAACAAAAGTGTTTCTTTATCAATTGATTCTAGATCAACACCAACTTTTTGTATCATTGATTCTAATAGAATTCTATAGCCTCTTGATGCAGCAATGTGAATTGGTGCCATTCCTTTCAAATTCAAGAAATTTCCTGCAGCACCTTTCTTCATTAAATAAACTGCTATTTCTTCATTTTGGTAATAAGCAGCATAATGCAAAGCTGTATTTCCTTCTTTATCTCTTGAATTGATTCTGATTCCATTTTCCAAGCATAATTTAACTAACTTAATGTTGTCGAAAATCGCTCCAATATGAAGCATTTTCTTCCCATCTTTGCGGCGTTGATTCAATACTTTCACATTACTTTTGATGAAATCTTCTGTTTCTTTCCAAGTTCCGATTATTAAAAGCTCCATCAATTTATTGAAGTTTTCCATGTCTTTATTAAAGTATCTTAACTGCATTTGTGCCGGATTTTCTCCTGTATAATCATTTATTTGATCATCAGCACCTTGGTTTATTAATAAAGATTTCATTGCTTGGCCTTTCATAACAGCTAAATGAAAAGGTGTTTGTCCTGTTTTGACATTTCTTGCATTGATATCTGCACCATAACTAAGCAACATTCTTATTATTTGTGTGTTTTCCCTTAAAACAGCAGCATGCAATAAAGAATTTCCACTTGAAATTTCGAAATATTTCAAAACTTCTTCGTTTTCTTCAATAATTTTCTTGAGCTTTATTTCTTGATTTAACTCAATACAAGTGAAAGCTCTTGTATAATCCTTTGTTGTATCAAACTTAATCTGTTCCCTTTCATAAGTAGGAGCAAAGAAATCATCATCCAAATCGTAAGTTGCATCAGTTTGTTTGCTTGCAACACTTTGATTAAAAATAGGATCTTCATCATCAGATTCTGTGGGAACTAACAAAGGATAGGCATCTTTCTTTTTGTTTTCTTCAGCAATTTGATATGGCATTTTACCATTCTCATCAATTGCCTTCTTTTTGCCACCATTTTTAAGAATTAAATTAATAATTTCAATGTTTCCTTCTTTAGCGGCCAAATGCAATGAAGTTTGCTTCCCTTTGCATGTCTCATTAACATCAATACCTTTTTCAATAAGAAACTTGACAACTGGCAAGTGATTATAAATAATACTTATATGAAGAGCATTATATTGATTTTGGCTTTCAGATCTCTCTGAAAGTTTAGATCCCCTCTTCAAAAGCATTTCCATAAACTCTTGTCTACCACATTTAGCAGCAAATAACAAAGGCGTTAAACCAAAAATAAATGAAGAACTCTATCATTACGAGCAGATATAATTGATGGATCACTGTTCAGCAATTCTGTGAATGCATTCATGTCATCATTCAAAATCGCAAAGAAAACAGTCATCGTTAATATTTATAAAAAGTGACATCATATCAAAAATTTTACAGATCTCCAACCTTTTTCATCATTTCATAAAGATCTCCAAACAAATGATTTAATTAACTGGAAATTAATGTTCACATACAAGTTTCAAAAAATTCATTAATAGCAGAAGTCAGATCTATTAGGAATGAACATAACAAAACGCTTATCTTTAATGCAGAACATCCATACTCTTGATAATAACCATAGTATTTCGATCAAATTATCAAAATTTGTTCGGAATCTCATTAAACTAATAAATATTTTGTTAAAATTCATTGACGAATTGAGTAACTACAAGCCACTTATTGAAGTTATGGAAAGCGAACTATATAAGATCGCTCAGTATGTTAAAGATGATTGTTCAAATTCATAAAAATAAAGTATAATTCATGCAAAGCACATGATTATTACATATCTCTTTTCACATTGTAAATAATAACAAAGTGAATTAAAGAAATATGAAGACTGTAATCGAAATGTAGGAGATTTTAGCAACATTGTCACTTTTTAATGCGCGATTCTGATTTAATTGGGCTTATAAACTCAGTACAACTAACTCTCAAGGATGCAAAGTACAAAAGTGATCAAGTTCTCACCGTTTTATGCATGTATGCTGAGGGAAAAATTGAGCGCCAACTCTGCGTTTATATTATTTTCTCTCTTTTGCGTACAACACCAGAATTACAGCAACAATTTGCCGAAATCGTTGAAGAACCACCGCCACCAGCAACAAACACAGGCGCTTTCATTCATGACATTTTCATCAACACAATTATCGAGTTTGAACTGTGGCCAGGAACGGTTGACCGTTTCTTGCACAGGATGCGTGACGTATTTGTCGGAAAAATATCACTTTTCGACACATTTATCGATCTAGAATACATCAAGCCAACATCAGGTCCATTTTGGCTTCTTTGGGACATTTTCGAACCAATTTCACAAACAAATCACTTCATACAACTGATTTACGATGGATGCGTTGATTCAACGCTTATTCCTTTGCATTTGAAATACGATATTAAGCCTTCAGAGTTTGATAACGATCCATCACTCGTTACACCAGATTCCATCATAGCATCTGATCTCGTGTGTACCTACGAGAAAGATATCAAACCAGCGTATCGTCCAATTGGTCCAAGTCGCATAGGCAGTTATGGCTTGCTTGTACGCAGCCTTGTTAACTGCAAGTGCTCAGGACGTCATGTCAAGGATTTTGAAGTCCTAAATGACAGATGGGCGACAGGAGCTGCTGGATTAGACGTCATTTTCTGTGCTGTCCGTAAAAATCAATACGAAGAGAGGTTGTTTATGAATGAAGATGAAAGAATCGAGCTTGACGTTCGAATTTCAAGGATGAGAAATACAATGCAGCATCTTTATACGCTTTACACAGCTCTTTCAGATCCAAACTCACAAGAAGCGAAAGATATTGTCATTGATGAGAAGACATTCCCCAAGTATAACCTTACAGAACTAGATATGTATACTATTTCCGAAATATTCGGTTACGACAGACTAGAAGAATTTTCAGACAGAATCAGACGCAAACCACTCGAAATTTTACCAATCATACGAACAGAAATCGAAGAAAAAATTACATCTCTTACAGAATTCCGACGATCAAAGGAAGCGGAGTACTACGACCTTAACAAACGTAATAGTCGCCGCTCCCTCGACGTCAGACATGAACCACATGTTACTCCAAACGTTAACATTGAAGATCCAATGGCAAAATTACGGAATGGCCAAACAGCCAAGGAGTCATTCCGTCGCGAAATCATCGATACAGTTGGTGAGATCCTTATAAAGTCCGCCCAACAAACAGTTTCCAAACAACAATCAGATAATGTTGAATACATCGTTGGTTACGTCAAAATCGTACTCGGAGTTCTTCAAGCTCCAGAACTAACCCGCCAACTCGTCTTCCACGCGTATCCTGCTACAACGGAATCTGATAATTTCGACAAAAGACAGTTTTGCCTCACTCCCGACATGTACAGGTTCATGAACCTCTACTACCTTATCTGCGATTGTGTCTACCACATCAACAGCCAAGCCGCGTCATCTCCTCTCAACGATGGCGCTTCAGTTCGTGGTTTACAAGTTGCTGTTAAACTTGGCCACATTTCTGCTTCGAATTTGGCACCAACACGAACTGAAATTCTCCAAGAATCAATTCCACAGTGTGTTGCCAGTGGAAAATCCACTCCAACGCTTGATTCTTTGTTCGATATGCCACAGCCATTTGTTTTGAACTCATTAGATTCACTTAGAAAGGCAATTCACATGTTTATAAAGATTGCCAATCAGTGCTGTTCTGATGAGCTTAGTTCAAAGATCGTTGAGGCCGTGAGAATACCAAAGAACACTGTCTACAACGCGTATTGCTGTGAGAACTTGTCACAGAATTTGTATGTAAAATGCGATGTGACACAAAAAGACACAAAAATCAGTTTGATGTACAAAGCTGAAGTTCCAAGACTGTTCAAAGTAACAAGAGGAATGTCTATTAAATGTCTGAGAGGATTCGGACCTGTTGCTTTGCCTCATTCTTTGATTACTGAGATGCAAACTAATTTACTCGGAACAAGGAGATGCAAAGGACAGATAAGAAAAAGTTTTGGTTCAAGACCTGCTGCAAACTCAATCATGTTCAGACTTGGCGTTGAAGGAGTTGAGATCTATGATAAGGGTTCGGATTTGATAAAACCAAGAGAGAATCCACAAATAGGTAATTAAGTTTCTTTTAATAATTTTTTTGTTGCGCATTTTTTTGTAATTTTTTTTTGTATTTATTTTTATATTGTATAAATAAATTTTTATCTTTTTTGAAACCATGCTTTTTGGATTATGTAAGCGTAAAATTATATTCTTCGCGTATAAGGGCACCTTTACCACTTTTTGAAACACTCTCAAATTTTCTGACAAAAGAGGTTCAAATCGTTGTTATCATGAAGATCCGATATAATATTATGACTTATTATTGAATGTTCATATAAAAAATAAATCTGAAAAGAAATGTTCCTCAAAATACAGAAAATTATGAGGAATGTTGATTATTATTAATTGAATACTTAAAGTATAATTAAAACGCATATAATTTACTCAACAGTTAAATAATATGTTAATATTATATATGATTCTCATAAGTAAGCCACGCTTGTGTTTTTGGTAAATTATGTTTTGCAATGTTTTTGGTATGGCCGGTTTTATTGATATAAAATTAAGTACATCAATAGTTGTTTTATCTTTAATATTTATTATGCCTTCAGATTGAACATAAACAGATTTTTCTCCAAAAAATTGTTTACATGAATCTGATAAAAGTGTTCGGTTAGATATATAGAGATGACTTCTTTTAACAAACGCATTTTTGTATGTTGTTACAATAGTGAAGTTCCCAGTTATATAAATATCCATTTGTTTGGAAATTCTCAAAAACACATCCTTTCCAATTGTTATGGAATTGTTATTGTTTATAAAAGAAATACTTATTAGTTTATAACAGTTTTCAAAAGCATTATATCCGATATTTTTCACACATTCAGGTATTGTAATAGTTGTTAATGAATTGCAAGAATAAAAAGCATGCTCACGAATATTAGTTACATATTTTGGTATTGTAAAATTAGTCAATGATCTGCAAGAAGAAAATACCCAATCATATAAAGTAGTAACTCCAATTGGAAAAATAATGCTTGATAATAAATAACAAGAACTAAGCGCACAACTCGATATATATTTGACCCTTTCGGGAATAGTTATACTAACTAATGATTGGCATGAAGAAAAAGCATACATTCCGATAGATGTTACATAATTTGGAATTGTAATATTCGTGAATGATTTGCAAGAAGCAAATACCCAATCAGATATAGTCCTTAAATCTTTTGGAATTATAATGTTATTCAATTGATAGCATGACTGAAATGCATGAGTCCTTATTGATTTTATATTATCATGGAATACTATACTCGTAAAATTAGTATGATAAAAACAGTAATCAAAAATTTGTGTAACAAATTTAGGAACTATAAATTCATTCAATGGATATTTTTGAAGAACTTTAAATAGTGTTGAGTTATCTTTTCCCGAATATATTACATATAATGACTCACTTTTAAAATTTTGACTGTTTGGGTGAACTGTGATATTGTCAAAATTAACATATGAAAATGCATCAGGATGAACATCTTTGAGCAGTCTGGGAATAAAGAATGAAGTAAGTTCTGTTTGTGAGAAACAGTCATCATTGAGTTCTCTTAAATTTGAGTTCAAAGAAATATATATTTTTTCTAAACCACTATTGTAAAATGCCAAATAGTCTATTGTTTCTACTGAGTCTGGCAAATTAAATGATGTCATGTTTTTATTAAGACTAAAACACCATGGTCCTATGATTAAAATAGTTGGAGGAAGTGAAATGGATCTCAAGAATGGACATCCCTGAAAAGTTGATTCGTTAAGAAATGTAAGTCTATTGCATTCACTTAGATCGGCAATTTGAATTGATGTTTGATAAAAACTAAATGGACCAATTTTAGATAAATGGCTATTTGCTTGAAATACAAGTGATGTAATTGAGCTTTTACAATGCTTAAACGCATAATCATTCACATCTATACTATATATTTCTACAACATTTTCTGGTATAACTACATCACCGCTAAAATCTGTAGTGCAGCTGACAAGGACTTGATTATTATCACGATATTCAATATAGCCTGTGCTCTGGCACTGAAAAAGAAGAAAATAAAAGAAATACAAATTTCCTTAAAAGTTTAATTTTATGAATCATGATTTATGTAGGTAGAATTAACGTTTTGACACATTTGATTTATTGTTAATACATTTTTAGATCCATTACCCGTGAAATAAATGATATTGTTATTTTAAATTACCCTAATTATATTATTCGACTTTTAATGATAATACGCATTTTTAATGGATTTGATTAATCATTAGAATAATACAATGAGAAATGCTCTTAGATTACCAGTAATAAGTATGTTATAGGCCAATAATCATTATCTGTATGAAATCCTAGGATCAGAATTCTGAATCAGACTATAATAACCATAAGGCTGTGAAAAAGTGTCAATTTATATGTCAGAAAGAACTCAAATTCTCATTCAGCTCACGAATTTAAATAAATACCGGAAAGAGATTATTGAAGTAATGTGAAGTTAAACACATTAACTGGTCATTTGGGAAATAATATATTCTCTTTCATTAATACCCTTCATTTCTAGAAAAATAAAAGTGACGATACCTGGAAATGAATGGAATAGCCTGTAAATTTATCTTTAATAATATTTTTGTTGATCAAATCAAAAAAAAAATTGACTTCTCAATAAAAAAAAATAAGGATGAATCATAGCAGCAATCCAAATGATACTGCTGATGGTAGTAATGGTGCAAACTCCACGAATATATCCACGTCAACAGGCAAGGATTTTTTATTTCGATCAAATAAAAAGTTATCAGATATAATTCAAACTCTTCCAAAGGATTCTTATGAAATACATGGTGAAGATACGGTTTTAATTAAGAATCAATCAAACGAAATTAACAAATTCTTCATTGTTGATAAACTTAATCAAGATTTAATTGTTGAATGTCCTTATTCATTTGAAAATATATACAAAGAAGCAGATATAAGTTTGTTACCATTTCTACAAGATTCATACTGCATTAGTTCTGAAGGAATAACGTATCTTATCTTCAAAAACTCTGACAGCATGAAAGAGTTTTGTATGAACTTCAACACTCAAAAATTCGTCAAAGAAAGTATTTCTCAAAGCGAAAATGAAACGATCAGATTAGCAGATTTCCTTTCACTTAAAGAACTCGACGATTACATATTATTAGACAGTTACAAAGAATATTTTGTTTGCATCCCATTTGCTCAAAACGAAGATGATGCTCATCACCCATATCCTTGCTATATTCGTCTGCTATTGAAGTTAAGTATTCATTTGGTGTAGGGTAAAATTCTAAATTGTCCAGTATTTCATTGACCGCCGGTGCGAAATTTAAGTTATGTATTACAAAAAGGGTAATGTAGTTATAAGCATCACATGTACGAATGCGCTTACATTCAGCCTGAATATCATTAAATTCTGGATCTTCTAAATCGAGGTCTATATTATTCTGAACGAGATATTTTGAATAATTTATTATCTTAAGAATAGTACTATTGATTTTATTTAGATCAATAATAAATCCATAATCAAAAGGAGCCATGGCCATGAAACGGAATGTCAATTTTAAAAGTAAACGAATTTTAGGATTAAACTAAGAAGAAATTTAAAATTTAAGTAAGGGAAATAATTTTTATAAAATAAATTTAATAATGAAAACAAAAAACAGAAAAATATTTAAAATTAGAAATAGATTAAGATAATGTAATAGTGTCCGAGAGATAAAACAGTGTCTGACAGATGCAACAGTGTCTGACAGATGCAACAGTGTCTATGAGATGCAACAGTGTCTGACAGATGTAATAGTGTCTATGATATGCAACAGTGTCTGACAGATGCAACAGTGTCTATGAGATGCAACAGTGTCTATGAGATGCAACAGTGTCTATGAGATGCAACAGTGTCTATGAGATGCAACAGTGTCTGAAAGATGTAATAGTGTCTATGAAATTTAACAGTGTCTATGAGATTCAACAGTGTCTGACAGATGCAACAGTGTCTATGAGATGCAACAGTGTCTATGAGATGCAACAGTGTCTGACAGATGCAACAGTGTCTGACAGATGTAATAGTGTCTATGAGATGCAACAGTGTCTATGAGATGCAACAGTGTCTATGAGATGCAACAGTGTCTATGAGATGCAACAGTGTCTATGAGATGCAACAGTGTCTATGAGATGCAACAGTGTCTGACAGATGCAACAGTGTCTATGAAATTTAACAGTGTCTATGAGATGCAACAGTGTCTATGAGATGCAACAGTGTCTGACAGATGCAACAGTGTCTATGATATGCAACAGTGTCTGAAAGATGCAACAGTGTCTATGAGTTGCAACAGTGTCTGACAGATGCAACAGTGTCTATGAGATGCAACAGTGTCTGACATATGCAACAGTGTCTATGAGATGCAACAGTGTCTGACAGATGCAACAGTGTCTATGAGATGCAACAGTGTCTATGAAATTTAACAGTGTCTATGAGATGCAACAGTGTCTGACAGATGCAACAGTGTCTATGAGATGCAATAGTGTCTATGAGATGCAACAGTGCCTATGAGATTCAACAGTGTCTGACAAATGCAACAGTGTCTATGAGATGCAACAGTGTCTGACAGATGTAATAGTGTCTATGATATGCAACAGTGTCTGACAGATGCAACAGTGTCTATGAGATGCAACAGTGTCTATGAGATGCAACAGTGTCTATGATATGCAACAGTGTCTGAAAGATGCAACAGTGTCTATGAGTTGCAACAGTGTCTATGAGATGCAACAGTGTCTATGAGATGCAACAGTGTCTATGAAATTTAACAGTGTCTGACAAATGCAACAGTGCCTATGAGATTCAACAGTGTCTATGAGATTCAACAATGTCTATGAGATGCAACAGTGTCTATGAAATTTAACAGTGTCTGACAGATGCAACAGTGTCTATGAGATGCAACAGTGTCTGACAGATGCAACAGTGTCTATGAGTTGCAACAGTGTCTATGAGATTCAACAGTGTCTGACAGATGCAACAGTGTCTATGAGATGCAACAGTGTCTATGAAATTTAACAGTGTCTGACAGATGCAACAGTGTCTATGAGTTGCAACAGTGTCTGACAGATGCAACAGTGTCTATGAGATGCAACAGTGTCTGACATATGCAACAGTGTCTATGAGATGCAACAGTGTCTATGAGATGCAACAGTGTCTGACAGATGCAACAGTGTCTATGAGATGCAACAGTGTCTATGAGATGCAACAGTGTCTGACAGATGCAACAGTGTCTATGAGATGCAACGGTGTCTATGAGATGCAACAGTGTCTATGAGATGCAACAGTGTCTATGAGATGCAACAGTGTCTATGAGATGCAACAGTGTCTGAAAGATGCAACAGTGTTTATGAGATGCAACAGTGTCTATGAGATGCAACAGTGTCTGAAAGATGCAACAGTGTCTATGAGTTGCAACAGTGTCTATGAGATTCAACAGTGTCTATGAGATTCAACAGTGTCTGACAGATGCAACAGTGTCTATGAGATGCAACAGTGTCTATGATATGCAACAGTGTCTGAAGATGCAACAGTGTCTATGAGATGCAACAGTGTCTGACAGATGCAACAGTGTCTATGAGATGCAACAGTGTCTATGAGATGCAACAGTGTCTATGAGATGCAACAGTGTCTGAAAGATGCAACAGTGTCTATGAAATTTAACAGTGTCTGACAGATGCAACAGTGTCTATGAAATTTAACAGTGTCTATGAGATTCAACAGTGTCTGACAGATGCAACAGTGTCTATGAAATTTAACAGTGTCTGACAGATGCAACAGTGTCTATGAGATGCAACAGTGTCTATGAGATGCAACAGTGTCTATGAGATGCAACAGTGTCTGAAAGATGCAACAGTGTCTATGAGTTGCAACAGTGTCTATGAGATTCAACAGTGTCTATGAGATGCAACAGTGTGTATGAGATGCAACAGTGTCTATGAAATATAATAGTGTCTGAAAGATGCAACAGTGTCTGACAGATGCAACAGTGTCTGACAGATGCAACAGTGTCTGACAGATGCAACAGTGTCTGACAGATGCAACAGTGTCTATGAGATGCAATATTATCTGTCACACATAACAATGTCTGACAGATATATCTTTCTATGATTCTAACCCTAATTACATTTTTCGTAAAAACCTATATTTAAGATTTGCAATTAACACACTTTTTTCTCTTCCAATAATGCACAAAACCAAGATTTGACATCAGATTTAAAATCTCCATCAAGTCTGCTTTCCAAATCCGCTGTCAAAACTTGAATATCTCAATTAATTAATGATATTCAGATATTGCGAATAATCTTTAGGTAAAGACGAAAATTTAGGTTGTAAAATCATATAAAAATGTAGTTAGAGAGCAAAAATTATGTTTGAGTGGATCTCCATGTCGTAGTGGATCTAGATGTTTGAGTGGCTTTAGATGTATGAGTGGTTTTCAATGTCAGTGTGGATCAAGATGTCTGGGAATAAAAGTAAGTCGTAGGTTAATATAAGTTTGATATTAATGTAAGTATGACTTAAAATGTAAGTCTCGGACGAAAGTAAGTCTGACTTGAAATGTAAGTCTCGGACGAAAGTAAGTTTGACTTGAAATGTAAGTCTCGGACGAAAGTAAGTCTGACTTGAAATGTAAGTCTCAGACGAAAGTAAGTCTGACTTGCGATGTAAGTCTGACTTGAAATGTAAGTCTCGGACGAAAGTAAGTCTGACTTGAAATGTAAGTTTCGGACGAAAGTAAGTCTGACTTGAAATGGAAGTCTGATTCTAAATGTAAGTTCTAGACTAAAGTAAGTCTGATTCTAAATATAAGTCTGATATTAAGATAAGTTTGTAACTAAAATTAAGTCTTATTCCAAAAGCAAATTTAATTGTATAATAAGTCTGGATCTAGAGTAAGCCTTAGTCTACAGCTATTCTGTGTCAAAAATAAGTCACGAACCATAGTAAGTTTCGGACTAGAGTATGTCTGTAATTCGAATCATTCATATTCTTCAATTATCCCGCCAAAAAAATTATCGTCTTTTTATCATACCATAGTTTTTATCAATCTCGTTCTACTAAAAAACCTTTATATTGGTGATTTCTTTGTTAAACTGTAATAAACAGAAATTCATCAAAAGTGACAGCTCTCAATTTTTTGACATTTGTAAATTCTAAATTGAATGAGAAAAATGAAATAATACTAAGCATAATACAATATTCTAGATTTAATTATAATTAGGAAAAGTTAGTTTTGAGAGTACTTTTCATAGGCATATAGAATGAAATCTTCTGAAAAATAATATCACATAAACTCATATTATTTTCTAATATATAACTATTTTATATAAAAATCAAATTCAATGATCTTAAAAGCGAATGATAAACCTCAAAATTTACGAATATAATGAGTGGGAATAGGCGTAAAGCAAAAATTGATATTTCATATGGTTTTATGATAGATAAGCATTATATTCCCACTCATTATATTCGTAAATTTTGAGGTTTATCCTTCGCTTTTAAGATCATTGAATTTGATTTTTATATAAAATAGTTATATATTAGAAAATAATATGAGTTTATGTGATATTATTTTTCAGAAGATTTTGTGTTCTTCTTCAAAATTTTATTTTTTTATTAAAAAGAATCTTTACAAAATATACATTTACTTTAATTAATATTTAAAAACGTGCTCTATCAAAAGTTCCAAAAATTCAATATTTTAGCTTTTCTGAGGTGTCACTTTTGATGAATTTCTGTTTACAACAAAACCCGTATTTTTTCATGTGAATCTTATTGTATAAACTCTAAAAGTTCAATTTCCGGTCGAAAAAAACTTGAAAACAATTTGTATTCGACGAGTTAAAGAGCTCTATTTATTCTAAATTTTCCAAAAAAATTAGATTTCGTTTTTTCGCTTCAAAAAATGTTGTTTTAAGTTTTAAAATTTGTAATTCAAAATTTTTTTTGGAAAGATTTACGATTTTTTAATACTGCGAATGAGTTTTATTTTACATACTCTATTGATAAATCATATTTTTGTCGAGATATAACTTTTTTAAAAAAAATTATATGCAAAGAGTGTTATAGAATTCTAGAAGGTATAGTGCATAATTTGAAGTATACTATCAAATAAAGAAATTTTACAGTTTTTTAGTTTTATTTAGATGTACGTTAGTTTAGATGGCTTCGTCGAAAACAAAGCATGTCTGTTAAGTTTATTCTTAACATGGTAAATAAAATGGCAACGAAGCCCAGTGTACTGCGTCTTATGTCGTAGTTTTTGTTATCTTCATACTCAAATACAACAAATACAAATAGATTTATTACGAAAAAACGTATAAAACAAATGATATATTTATTTCTAGACAAGTTGACGAACATGTAGCGCAACTGTATCGCTTTAGAGAACAGTTCTTCCAACACCTACTCATTCAGTGAAAGATTTAAGAAGAACTCTTACTCGACCTTAACTACCTACGCTTTGCTTGAACAATTCCCAACGAGGTTACTATAAGGTTGCAAGTCTTGTCAAAATGTAGTATGCAATACGTTGGGGAAAAATAGATATATACGAACAAACTACTACAGTCTAGCAACTAGTCTTTAAGTGTAATGTATTTTTGCTACAAAGAGCTCATAACGAAGTCAAATTTTGCAATTTGATGTCAAAACTAGCTAGTTGTTGAATCAAATAGCGTTGTGACTTTGTATACATCACGATCTTGTGGTATCAGAGCTGTACTGCTGCAGACTAATTCAACTAAACATGAGCAAGATTGGGATTTCTATTCTCTGGGGTGCGAGGCTCGTCCAAAGTTCAAGCAGCTACAGTGTTTTGGATCACCTAAAGAATTTTGGGAATTCAGTTATCCGTTACTACTCTTAAATTAAAGTAGAGCACTACAGCGAATCAATCGTAATGCCTAGTCTCTCCAGTAACAAGCTGATCTGCTATATTAACTTTAAAGCCAAATCGATTCACATTGTTGCTGGTAAGTCTGATTGCTTCAGATAGAGAGCATGAATTGCTTCTTTATCATCTAATCCCCATCCCCCTTGTTCCCGATTGGATGATATGGACAATTCATCTTTCTCTAACGAAACAAAATGACACTTTTTTGGCGGCTTATTGACTCAGAAAAATTTGAGAGTTAACGAATAATTTTGGCGCCAAAAATAATTTCTCTTAATTTATTAAATTTAATATACGCACATCCATAAGTTATGCTATTTTTCTATTTATTTTGTTCTAAAATTCTAAATATTTTTTTTTCATAACATAAAATATGATGTCTAGTCTCATTTACATAACAACATGCCTTAGAATAGGTTTTTTATTCTTTTTGTCACTTTAAATTAAGAATAAAAAGATAATTTAAATTGAATATTTGCGATTATTCTCACTAATGCTGCTTCCTCTTTTATTAGGTAGACAACAAAAAGTTAGCCTTGGACTCCCATATCAGATTTTTGATTGGTTGCGTATATAATGAGCTGGGATTGATAGACGAAAACCCAGTGAGAAAATTTTTGACGCCCTTTTCAATACAAAAAATCGAAAAGGAGTCAAAGGATCAATATTTTCCAATTCAAATGGTTCAAATATCAGATAAATCCCAAAAGTACGAATCCATTTTATCAAATAACAACTTTTTCTATCCAAGCACATACAAATCTTCACTAACAATAAAATTGAATTGGAAAGCTCAAGAAGCTGAATTGGAAAACTCAAAAAGAGATGGATTGTTTGTCCCAGATTCACAAAAATTGTTCATAGAATTAATAAATTACTTAAATAAAGTCCAAAAATACAATTGCGTTCGAATATCTTTGAATTTTTATTCGATTCTTTACAATGAGCATTCATATACATTCTACTTTGATACTTATGATGATGCAATTAGAAATGATAAGGAAATCGCTCAAAAACTCGCTAACCTTTACCAAGTCCATCCAGTTATTCAAATTCATGATGAAACGCAGGGTAAGAAGTTACCTAAGCTTATGGAAAAGAAAGGCCAGCGTCGCTGAAAGTTTTCTTGGAACTAATTATCATTTTTTATATTTTTTGTTTTATACCTTTCTAAGAAATATGTATTTATTTATATCTTATTCTGTAATAAACAAATTCCTATTTATTTTATAAATCTGATAAAAATATTTTTATTTTTGGAATTATCATTATTTTGAAGATTCACTATTGAAGAGATGGATTCACTACGTTATATAGATGTTCAATGTATCTTCTCCCTTGATAAAAGCCATATAAAAATTTGAGATATTAAATTAATTTTATGCATCTTTCACTGATAATGTTTGAAACTTAAAGTATTACCTCATAATAAAGGTTTGAGACAGAATTCATCTAAATATAAATCGTTCAATCAAAATTTTCATCTAAAAAAGAAGTTTTCAAATTATTTAGATAAATAATATTTATTAAATTAACAAGTATTTATATATAGTTAGTAAATCTCCAAAAAAATTGAAAATTATTTTCCAATATTCTTGCAAAAATTTGATTATTCATTTGTCTCAAACTCACTTAAGAATAAATCAGCTAGTTTCGAACCTTCATCGCTTAAACTGTTGTAAATTTCATCAATATTCTGAACAATGTTCATTTGCGCGATTCTTTCTCTTGGCTCAGTTCCAATTGAAGCAGAATCGCATTTATGCAATGCAGTTAATAGTGCGTTGACAAATAACACAAACCTTCTTCCACCTGTATCAAAAACAAAATCTGTGAACATTTCGAGCCTAGGATCTAATAACATGTCTCTAGATGCTTCTGGAATGGTGAAATTCAAGAGTTGTGAAAATATTACAAATGAAATTTCTTTAATTGAAGAAGTTGCTGTCTCCATGTATTCAGAAAGATGATCCATGATTCCCAACATAAGAAAATGTTCAGGAGCTCCGGGATAGTGCTTGATTGCTGCATTAATTGCAGTAAAAGCTTTAATTGTGACCTGTTCTGAAATATGGTTGGTCAGATCTATCAATTTTTCAAAGACTTGTGGATAAGGAAATGTATAAAAATGAGTATCTGGTCTTCCAAGTAATTTTCTGAAAATTTCAAGAGATATTAAGGTAATATTATCATCTTCATGTGGAATAAGTGTTAAAATACTGAAAGCAAGTGTTGTTCCACCTAATAATTTAAAATCTTGGATATAATTCGTCAAAAAATAGCTAATACACCACAGACTTAATAACACCGATCTGTCATCGTAATTTAGTGCAGCCAAAGTTGCATTTTTAATTTTTTCTTTTTGTTTTTCTGTAAGTGACAAATTTTTGACCATTGAGAGAATAAATGTCATAGATGCATGTGTCATAGCAATGTCTTTCGCTTTTATGATGTTTGAAATAGTAGTTTTAAAAATAAAATGAAGAATTTCATCTGCGTATTCAGAATGGGTCTGGCTGATCAAAAATGAAAAGCAGTCGAGTATTTGCGGTTGTTTGTCTTTAAATATATCCCACATTTGTTGAAGAACTGCAATAATTCCATTATCGCTGAATCTAATAACAAATGGTGAATTTTTCATTTCTAAAAGTAAAATAAAGTTGTCAAGTAGTGCATTGGCGTCATCATTTGACATTGTAGGCGAAAATAATGAAATTACATTTTGAATGTAATCTTTTTTAAAGATATTTGCATACTGATAGCCTTGATTTGATCGAATTTTATCATTTAAGTCAATTAAAGTGAAGAATGATGGCTCGTTCATGAATGTTTCAAAATTTTTTAAAAATTCTTCAGTAAATGATTTCAATTCTTCACCATCTTGTGAATTTTCTGTCTGTTCTACTGATAACTGATCTAATGGATCTATAAGCTTATCAATAGCTATTTGTTGGAAATCTTTATATTCATCATCCATTTTTATGAATAATTGACTTCAAGTAAAAGTTATTGAAATCATGCAGTATGATAAATGTAAGAAGGATTGTAAACAAAATATTAAAATAACAAAAATTTAATTACAAAATACAAACAAATAAAACAATAATATAGAAGAATTGCCTCATTGAAATGAATAATCAGTATATGAGACAATGAATCTTGAAAACAATTAACTAATTAATGAACATTTTTTCTATTTGTGCATAAATTTGAATGTACACCCCTTGAAATCTTTGGGTGCAAACGTTCTCTTGCTTTGTAATGTGAAATTCCTTGTTTAGGCTTTAAAATATGAGGTAAAGCGCAAGTTGCAGAGTTTTTGCATTCTAGAGTGTCATTAGCTACTGCAGGCTGTGGAATTACTTTTGTCTGTTTAGGAAGCATCCAGTCATATTGGAAATCATAAACAAAATTTTCTCTAATGAACAGTTTTCTAAACATTTTCCTATATTTGGCGTAATCAGGCTTCTCTTCAAAAGAAAGAGATCTTACAGAGCTTAAGAAATCTGCAAATTCTTGTGGAATTCCTTCGCATATTTTCTCAATAGGAGTATTGATCTTAAGATCTCTGATCATTTGGTTCTTTTCGGTTTTGTTTGAAGCTTGGACGTTTATCCAAGGAAGTGTTCCTTTCAAAAGATAAACTAAAACATACGCAACACTTTCTAAATCATCACGGCGAGATTGCTCATGTCCCATATGAGAATTTATTGAAGTATATCTAATTGTTCCTGATACCGATTTCCCTGTGCAAAATTTTATATGTTCATGAGTGTATCTATCACAATATGGCTTTGAAATGCCCATATCAATCATATATATTTGGTTGGACTTCTTTCCCTTTCCTATTACGAAATTGTCTGGTTTAATATCGCGATGAATTAAATTTTTATGATGAAGATATTCAACTCTCGTAATCATTTGGTCTGCAATCATTAAGACTGTCTTAATTGAAAAAGATTTGTCGTTCTCGTTGAATAATGTTTGTAAAGATTTTCCTAATAAATCCATGACTAGAGCATTCTGATTGTCATCAGAACCATAGTATTTAATATTAGGTATACCTACTCCACCTTGAAGTAATCGATATATTGCCGATTCATTTTTTAGAAGTTGAATTTTATTATTTTTCATTTCAACCTTAACTGCAACTTCTTCGGAAGTGTTTACATTCTCGGCAACATATATTTCGCCAAAGCTCCCTCCGCCGAGTTTCTCGCCCAAGAGATATCGGGAGCCAAGCATCTGCCTTCCTTGTAACGTACTCTGATTTTGGATACATCATCGTTAAGTTATAATAAAATATTCATATGGGATACATGTGATAACTAAATATTACAACAAAATTGTATGATTTCGTTCAAATAAAATTATTGAAATCACTTATTTATAATCCAAGCCGAATTTTTGATGATTTTGGATACACATAATGAATGGAAAACTATTGAAACTTTAATTTTTCTCTACAAAATTTTATTCAAAGTAGTTTTTGAAATCAAATATTATAAGAAAATAATCAATTTTGCAGTTTTCACAATTTTTTGGAAATTTTTAAATAGCGCATTCATAATGTTTTTAGATCTTATTGCGATTGATCATTAAATTTTAGAAAAAATTCGAAAGTACAAAATATCAAAAATAAAATAATCAATTTGGATTATTAGTAGCTCGATCACAAAAGTACTTATATAATGTTTTAGGGGTACAACGAACATAAGAAGGTAAAAAATTCAATTTAAATAAAAACTTAAGACATAATCTATAACACATTTTTAACATAATTAATCAAACAACATTGCAATTATTTGACCATACTTTTCACTTGCATAGCAATAATTGCAATTGCAAGGAATATTCCGAAGATTGTAAGGAACCAGCAACCCCAGAAATAAAATGAATTGACTTTTGGCTTATAGTGTATATACCAAAGAAGGCCAGGGATTGTGACATTAATAATGCAGCCAAAGGATCCTGTGTAATCAAGAATATCCATGATCTTTGGATAGAATGCTCCAATACATACTGGAATTGTATGTGCAACAACATGGACAATTGCAAGCTTCTTTACTGGGAGAATATCCGGGTCATTGATCTTAAAGAATAATTGCGACCAAGCACCCATAATTGGCTTGTTGAGAACTGGATAGGAACATGTTACAGCAAGGAAGCAGCCTGCTTTGAGGATGTTGAACAATACATCCTTTTGGAACTTTTCGTATGAGAAGATCAATTTGGACTCTGATTCATTGAAGACCATCATATATCCAAGAATTGAAGGGATAACAAGGATGAATAAACACGATGCGCATGTCCAAAGAAGAGATATGTAACGCTTACGTAAATCCTTATTGTATTTGTTAACAATAGGAAGGGTAGTGATTGGAAGGGTGAAGTTAAGGAAGAACATGGATAGGGCAGAGAATATACCAAGGCCTGCACGCCCAAGAGAGAAAGACGGATCTTTAAGATCCATTGTCTTGATAACTGTTGGGAACTTGATAATAACAACAAGGATATAGAAGAGCATGATACCTATTGTTAATGATGAGAAGTACGATAAGAACTTAAGACTCTTCGGAATAGCTAAACCAACAGGTACTACACTATAAGCGAAGGTGATTCCAACACGTATCCAATATGCTACTGTAATACCACTTAACTCAATCCACTGCTGTATAACATCGCATGAGATTACGACATATGCAATATTACTTGCAATGCAGAAAATTAATGAAATAATGGATACAAAAACTTGTCCTCCATGACCAAATACCTTGAGTGCAATATCATCAAGTCCATCGCCTTCGAGATCTTGCTCGATTTTTACTAAGATCTTCGAACACACATAAGCAATATATGCAGCAAATGCTAATAGTACAATAGATGGAATAATACCAACTTCTCCGAACTTTCCTGGTAATGTGAAAATGCTTGCACCAAGTAAAGAGTTCAACAGATTAATAATTGTAGCAAATCTTCCAACTCTGGTCTCTTCTTGATTTGCTTTTTCTTTTTCTTCATCTAAGTCTGCATCTGGATTTTCAGCATCTTTTTTATCATCAGAACTAGATTTTACGTCACTACTAGTTGAATAACTGTTTACAACCTCTGGGACCTCTCCTGGAACTTCATGGAGACTTGGAGAATCACTAGCCTCAGCACTTGACATAAAATTTGATTTTGTTCTATTCAATTTTTATACTATCAATGTTAGTATTGAAATAAATAAATCTTTTAGTCCTTTTTTGATCCACAGAGGTTTTACTTTGCAAAGTGTTTTTCCTTATTTGAAGAAATCGGAAATAATTTTATTATTCTTATATCCCGTATTTTAATGTCTTTATATGGTCAAATGTATAGCTGATTAATTTTGACAGCTATTCAAAAATTCAATGAAAAGGACCAATCTTCTTTCAAAGATTCACTTTGAATTTTTTCAATGATTACATTTTATGAATGATTTTTTCCAAGCAAAAAGATATATCTATCTATCTATCCAGCTACCAGTTTCCATCATCTTGTTTTTAAAATAATCTTGATTTCTTTGTTTACGTTTTCGACTTTACAATATTATTTTACAGGAATCTTTTTGTAGTATTCCCAGAGAATGGGCAGGTTTGGCAGAATATTCATGCGATCTAATAAATTAAATGTGTTTTTGTAAATAAAAATATTATTGATTCCATTGATCTTCACAAAAATATTCAATTTTTGAATTGAGACGGAATCAAAATTAACCAAAACGATTTTCACTCATTATGATGATTTAATCAATGATATAACCTCATGGTACATCGAAGTTGAAATAACCTTGTTGAATTTGATCGACATGCCGAATAGAATATTGAATGATAGTGAAATCAAATAAACTCAAAAATTATCATGTATTGATCGCCACAATCTCATTTTATTATTTCTCATAATAAGGCAAATTTTTAAAAATTTCATCGTTTTCCAAACAACCGGTATAAAAAATAATTTGATATATCATCATTACTTGTTATTAATTTAATAAAAATACTAATTATTAAGTGTTTTATCCTTATTATAAGATCAATATTTTATTTCTTATTGAGTATATAGTTATGAGGTATCAATTCTATATATAGATGCATTGCTATTGTTATTGAAAGACACAACGAAAAATAAATATGTATGATTGAAATGCATCAATTATATTGAAAATTAAGGGTGCACCCGTATGTACGTTTATTTGAGAGGAGGAGGATTACCCTCTCAATTTTGAGGGATTCATTAGTTTATTTTCTCGATGAATATGCAATAAAATTTGATTTTTACCTTATCAATATACTTCATATAATATACACATGTTCATGTAAAAACTTTTTTCCAAAATCCTCAGGAATTAAGGGATTTTTGAATTTTAAGAATTTTTTTCGAATTTTTTCGAAAAAAAATATTTTCAGAACAGCCTTAACGGCTAAGATTTAGGAACAATGTTAAGTATCAAAAAGAAAGGAGGTCTGATATAGACAACATATATCGTTGAAGGTTGAAAAAATCTCTAATATTTGAGCCCAAAATTTCAAATTTTAATTTTTTGAAAAAAGAGGCCACCCGTATGTACGTTTATTTGCGAGGAGGAGGATTATATTTTTGAAAGGGTGAAACATTATGAATATGTTAATTATATAATAATATGTATTATTATAAAAAAGAAAAAATAAAGCACGTTAAAATTTTCTTTCTTGATTTTTTACAAAATCTACTTAGAATTATGCAAAATATGACTAAATAATTATAAATTTCAAGTTAAATTTTAATTTTGATAAATAATTTAAATTTCAAAATATCAAGTTCAGTTCGACTATGTATGCAGTAATTCCTCAATAAAGTGCCAAAACCCTATTAAAATATATGAACATTTTCAACATTTTAATGTTTTTATTTAAAAATTTGTTGGAATATGAGCTTCAAACAATTATTATGTAAATAAAAATAATTAAATATATGTATTTATTCGTATTACAACTGTAGTAAGTCGATTCTTCCTTTCTTCTACTGAGATTTGAATTTGATTTCGAATTGTAAAGAGATTCAAAGGGAAAATACTAGCGGATAAAAACTACCTCCATGAAAGGGTCATAATGGAGTCAAGTTGTATTTTTTGATATTTTTTGCTTTTCGAGCCTAAATAGGTAGCCAAGATAATGCCTAAAAATAAGGTTCTAAATTCTGAAGTTTACATGATCCTCTCGTGTGCACCCTTAAAATTATTCCACAGATGAATGAAATCATTAAAAATATGATCGAATAAAAATGGTGCATTTGTATGAGCTGAATATGGTTCAAGATGTTATAATCCTTTGATTCAGAACAATATTGTGTATTAAACGAATATAACTTCACCAATAGTATTTTCACATAAAATTGCAATATATTTTTTGAATTTAGAACCGTAAGAGTTCATATTTTTTTAAAAATAAAAATAATCAAATATGAAATATAACAAACATGTTTACAACTTTATTCTTTGCAAGAGAGACAACCAATAGCTGCAATATATGGCCTATTGCATTTTTCACATTTCTGATATGCTTTCTGGTTAGGATCACGTAAAATATGATTAGCACAATATAATGACGACGGAACAACTGTATTGATACAATCTTCAACGCAACATATCTTTGCTTCTCCTCGATTTTCTTTAATTGTTTTCCGCCATTCATGTCTCTGTTTGTATAATTGCTCTATATCAGATTCTGTTCCATTTTCCAATAAATTTTCTATCTCATTGAGCTGTTTTTGAATATCTTTAGTTTTATCATTTACGATATCTTGATTTAAGTAGTGATGACGTAAACGTGCAAAGTCACCGTTTGATAAATCGCTGTTTTCTTCTAAAGATTCGCATTTTTTAATGATTCCTGACTCTTTAATATTAAAATCAGTTTCGATTGCATTTTTTGGAGGATCTTCTGTGGGTAATGGCATGCCGCGTTCATTAAATATTTGAGCTAGCTTCGGATTCATTTGATTCTCCATTGATCGCTCAATGTAAATTCTTTCCCAAATAAAAGTGCCAAAATTTTATGATTTCCCAGCGTGAAATTGACCGAGACTCTTCAAATGATATGAGAGTGACAGCGAGAGATGTGGAGCAAACCACGATTGGACCAGAAATTTCTAAAGAAGAATTCATGTCAGCCTTAGAAAATTGCAATATTCCAGAAAATTTTGAAAAAGTCGAACATTATTTGAATTACAAGAAATTCATAAGTGAATATGACGTGTTTCTTCCTAACCTCATTGCATTACTTGATCCACAACAAAATCCTGATCCTGATTTTCGTTTAAGAGTTTTCAACTTATTCCATCAGATCATTAATGACTTTGGACTTTACTATGATCTCATTTATAAATACAATTTTCATGAATTTTTATATCAACTTTTCCCAGAAGAAGGATCATTAGTATTACTTGAAGATTTACTTTATTATGATTCAACAAAGTACAACCATGACACTGAATTTCGAAGAGTCTTTTTATTCTTAATGGATAACAATTTTTGTCAGAGAATCATTGAATTATTAAGCAATTATACCAATGAGAACATCCAACTACTCATACATTTGATCAGAGTACTTACATTATACAATGCAAATGATGAAGTAGAAAAATATTTAAATATTGCTGACAAACTTGTCGAATTATTAGGATCATGCACAGAAGAAGGCATCCTTGGAAAGTTTATAATAAATATCGGCAAGATTCAGATCGCTGCTCAGTATCTTACACAAAAATATATTGAAAATGATGATCTTTTCAATTTTTTGCTGTCATTCCCTCCAGATTCAGATCTAAACTCTGCATCATTAATCTATTTCCATAATTATCTCTTGAAAATGCAGACTTTTCGTTATGATGATTCAAAATTTGAAAGATTAATGAATTATTGCTTCCAATTCATCACAGATGACAGCAAATTCCTAGGAGATGCATGCTATTTCTTTGCAACTGCAATTCAATATGCAAAAACAGATGATGAAAAATATACTAAGATTTTCTTTGAATCTGGGTGGTTTGATAAAATATTTGAAATGGCCAAAGGAAGTTACTCATACAAGATCAAAGAAGACCTTACAAATTGCGTTCTTTCTTTTATTGACTCAACAAGAAATTTGGAATTGATGATGTACATGATTGATAACGGAGTTATTGACTTTATAGAGCTTTGTATTGATTCAATGCCAAGACAAATCACTTACTTTATCGATGCAATTTATAGAATTTTAGAAGTTGCAAGCGCAAATCAAATGGATGACTGGAAGTGCGCTATATTTAATAGTGAAACAATATCTGAAGCAATTTATTCATTTAATCCAAGAGATCAAGTGTATCAAGAAATTATTGAATTGATCCGAAAAATGGATCAAGAAGATGAGTGACACTCATCATTTTGAATAAACATATATATTTTGTTTGTTATAACAAATGAACTATTAATTTTTTAATATTTTCTTTTAAATAAAACGAATTAACTGTCAAAAACACAAATATCTATATAATGATGTTAAGAAGATTATGCAGAGAATATCATTAGCAAAAAAATATGTTTGAATAAAAATTTAAAAATGATTGCACCGCCCGGACCCCCACCTTGGCAAGGTGAAATTCTACCATTAGACCAGCGGTGCTTTACAAATATTCTCTTTTTGATTAGTATAAGATATATAATGATACTGATGAAAGACTTATCATTATTATTCCAGTGGAAATCTCCATTTTCATTAACGTCTGTATGGAATATTGCTGGCAAAAATCTACTATCTAGGACTTCAAGTCGATATTTGTCTAATAAAACTATATGAAGTTTCAACCAAAATTGTCAAAAATCCGATCAAAATTTACATTCTACTTTTTGTTTTTCAGCAATCTTAGCTATTATTTATTCAAAGCTATTCCATATAATGATTTTCTCAAAGAATGCACGTGTAGATATCAAAACTATATTCAAAAATGAATTAACCTGTTTACATCTTGGCTTTTCTATGATGTTTGAATCTATTCAAATTCACTTTGACCATTTATGAATTACACTATACACTCAAAGATTCCAAAATCATTATTCACATAAAAAATTGAGTTCTAATTTAAACATTCAAAAATTAAGAGCGAAATAAATCAATTGAAATTTTGAATAAACGTCAAAATGGTTTTGATCGAACTCAAGAAATAGTGTACTGCTCGGTTAAAGTGTATAACCTTATCTAAGTATATCAAAACTATATTTTCAAAACGAAGTCTTCATTTTATTCACTTTCTAAATAGAAAGCAATTCGTTAGTTTATTTTCTCGATGAATATGCAATAAAATTTGATTTTTACCTTATCAATATACTTCATATAATATACACATGTTCATGTAAAAACTTTTTTCCAAAATCCTCAGGAATTAAGGGATTTTTGAATTTTAAGAATTTTTTTCGAATTTTTTCGAAAAAAAATATTTTCAGAACAGCCTTAACGGCTAAGATTTAGGAACAATGTTAAGTATCAAAAAGAAAGGAGGTCTGATATAGACAACATATATCGTTGAAGGTTGAAAAAATCTCTAATAGGGTTGTTAAAAATATCAAAAATTAGCGTTTTGAAGACACCATGGTGTCTTATAATTTTCCCTTCCTTATTGGCGTGTAGAAATAAATGCGCCAATAGATTGAAGAAGAAGAATTGTTTTTCTCTTAATGAACTTTAATCCTTTTGATATAAGAATATTAAAAACATTAATATAATTTCGATTTCGGAAATTAAATTTCCAAATTTTTTGTCGATTTCGGAAATAACAGGATCCCGCATCCAACACGCAACAACAAAACACAAAACACACTTTTTGGTTCTTTCATCGTTTTAATCGTAATTTATGTAATACATGATTTGGATAAATTTTACAAAAATAGAACCTATATTATATTCTTTTCAAAGATTCTTGCAAATCATCAAAAATAATTGTATTTTAAAAAACGATCAAATTATAGTAGTATATGATGCGGGTTGTGTGACTTTTTTTGTAATCGTAAGAATTCTCACATAATTGAATGATTTTTGAACATACTTCCGAATAGCAGATTTTAAAAATTTTTGAATAATTTATTTTTTTAATTCGTAAGAAAATGAGTGGATCAAGATTCGTAACCGTCAATCAATTAATGGATGCTCTTTCACCAATTCTTGAAAATGTTAAACAAGTAGATGTTTATTTCGATGATTATGTAGAAAGTTTATATTATAAAGGTAAACATAATATTAAACCCACTGCTTTTGCATTTGATAATAAATTAATTGAAAATGCAAAAATTTGGAAATTAATTCCAGATATTGAATATATAACGAATATAACTAATAAATGGTTCAAACGAATTCCAACCACAAAAGTTCTTTGTAAATTAATGATCAAAACCGAGGCCAAAGAATTTCATGAATTTACATATCATCCAAATAAAGTTTCAGAACTAGAAAATGAAAAACTTCAGAAAAAATTAAACGATAGACTTTCAAATGATCGTATTGAAAAAATAAATAAACTAGCAGAAGTTGCATTTAATAATGAAATATTTGATGAATATAACCTTGAACTCAGTGATGGGCTTTAAGGACCCGGGCTCAACGAGTCATGATTTATGAAATCAATTATTTGATTCATTCTTTCTTCAATCTATTCTATTCTTTTTGTTAAATCATCTATTTTCATTAATGAGGTGATTCTTGATTGAGGAATAGATTTCAAACTAACCACTCCTTTTATTTTTGAAATTTTGAATCCATCAACTTTAAACATTTTATTCAATTTACACGTTGTCAATTCTTCAAATAATTTTTTATTATTAGCATAATAGTCATTAAATTCTTCAACAGATGAAAAAATTTTTATTTCAGTAATTGGTTTAACAACGTTTATTTTTTGTTGAACATTTTCACTTTCATTTATTTCTTCCTCCTCTGTTTCATTTATTTTTAAAATTGGTTTCATTTATCATTAAATAAAAATTAGAATATAAGTGATGAAATATATTTTTTAATTAATATTAAATCAGAAATGGCTGCAGGATTCTTTAAAAAATTATGGGAAGGAATTAAGAAAGCTGCGGGTTGGGTTCATAAAAAGATTATTAAACCCGTTGCAAACTTTTTGGCACCAGTAGCGAAAACGGCAGGAACTATCATAGGTGGAGTATTAGGTACTAAAGCAGGTAATCCGGCGATGGGAGCACAAGCAGGTAACGCAATTGGTGGAATAGCTGAAGGAATACTTAATAAAATAGGAGGTAGATAGTGGAAAAATAAATAAATATTATTTTTATCTTAGTATTGGTTGTAGTCTTTGATAAACTTTTTCTCCTTTATTTAAAACTTCTCTTATTGGGGCGGCTTTTGGCGTTATTGATTCAGCAACGTCACTAATTGCTTCTTTATTCTTAAATATCCAATTTGCTCCCTTCTTCAATGTTTCCCAAACTTTACTCGCCCCTCTTTTTACTCTATCCCACAGTTTCTTAAATATACCTGCAGCCATAGTTGATTATTTCATTAAAATTAAAAATTCATTTTCATCTTTTAATTTTGATTTTTTTATTATTAATATGACGACTAACTATTTAGTGCCAAACACTAAACCAATTAATGGAAATGTGTTTCATTCATTCAAAAAGATAAATGAAATATTCGCAAAGAATGACGGTAGAAGATATTATAGAGAACTTGAAAGTTCATGCAATGACTCTGATGCTCCATATTTTGATGATAAACAAACTCATTTAAGAATTACAAATCCGGCTCATGATGTGAACCAATTAGGTGACACATATATTAAACGCAAAGTTAAAGCAACTCTAGTTTCAAATAAAGCTTTCACATGTGATGCCGCTTTTAAATGCATGCGTTTATTCGTTGGTTACAAATCATCAAATCAAAGCTTTAAACAATTAGAAGTAGAAACTGAAAGAGGTGATGCCGGTTATCTTCAGATGGATTGCGCCCGTGAATCTTTTGCATTTGCAACATATAAACCAAAATCAGAAAGGAAAGTTAAAAAGTTTGTTCATTCGTTATATAATAATGTTCAAAAATATGATAACTCAGTATGTGGTAAATATATTGACCCTTCAGAAGTTTTCAAGAAAGCAAATGAAGAAGTTGATGTCACTTTTGATATGATTATTCCGGTAAATGATTTGTTAGCATTTCAGGCGTTCGATGATTATCCTAAATCATTTGGTGAAATCATTCTTAAATATTATGTTTTCAGGGATACTTTAGTATTTTGTCAGGTTGACCCGTTAAGAGTTGCTGATTTACAAAATTATGTTTATGAAAAGATAACTGATGAAAATTATGAAAAGATTATGAATCATGTTTATAAATATGATCGCAAATTCCAACAAATCGGACTTCCTGCCAAATTAATTACAAGCTTAGCCGCTACATCTGCTGACGCAACAGTTGATAGCGTTATTATTTCATGCACAAAGATGGAAGTTTTAGAGGATAAATGCATTACACCAGGATACGGTTTAATTGAAGAATCAGTTAAAGCAATACCACGTTTATTCAGTAAGGAAGATCCATTCATGATTCCAGCTCAACATATTGACGTTCGTTCACTAAATGGAGGTTGCATCTCTCCTGAAGGTATTAGCTCAGATTTCTCATACGCTCTTCATAATGTTACAGATGTTGTGTTAACATTTCCGAAGAATGCAATGCAAAGAACAGTTTTAGAAAATCCAATGCTTCGAGGTCTTCAGGTCACTATAGATTCCAGAAACTTCCCCGATCAAGCGATGACCACAGTGGGTGACATATTCTTTACACGTATGCTTCAAGCTTCTGATTTAGATGGAGTGAATGAATGCACGGAAGAATACGAGGACTCATTAACTAGACCACTGAATGCAGATGATGGCACACCATTAGCTAGAACATGGAAAGACCAAACTTCATTCTTATGCACTATTCCAGTTCAACGTGATGGGGCGGGTATATTCTTTGATGGATTAGAAACTTTCAACTCACAAGTTACAGTACAAGTGAAAGCTTATCCAATCATTCAGGGTGAAAATGACACTTACTGTTCAAAGGTGACAAATCCTCCTCAGGTTTGGTTTACTAGGACTACGTATTGGACATGGACACCGGACGAAGGTTTGAAATATCATCCAACAGGTACACCACCACAGTATAGAAGTTCATATGATGAAATATTGATGAATAGAAATGTTTAAAATTATAAATTTATTTTTGATTAAATGGATTTAAATTCATCCACTCCTTATGAAGAATTAACAGATGTATATAATACCTACATAGATGATATGATTAATGAAGCATTGAGTGATAATAGAAATGCTCTATCTAAGGAAAAATTAATGAAAATTCCATATTCTGAATGT